AGCGCAATAGGATCTTTCAACGCTGTCACATTTCTCAACCGGTGCTCAGCCCGCAGTATCTGTCAACCGCGCGTACGCGACTCAATTATGTTACTGACCTCCCCCCCAACACTTTCCCAACTAACTTTGCGTTTATCCATCCAGCACTGTAGGATACACAAATAGAGGATGAAGAAATTGCAATTTGCTATAAGACATTTCTCAGAAATCATATCGGTCTGCATCGCACACGTTTTGTCTGTGTCAATCTGGTTTCACTCTTAATTCGGAAGGGAGGCGGGGGGGGCGGTGCAGTAGTTAGCGCGCAGCACCATGAAGCAGGCCACCTAAGTTCGATTCTTGGGCCACGTCTGCTAGCGCGAATGCCGAGTAACAACATCTGAACTGATCCTTCTCTCCTCTCCACTTGCACTTCACCAACACATCCTGGCCAACGCGCCGTGGGGAGTAGGCATTCATCCAGCAGTGGATTGACAAATAGGTGTGCAATGGTAACACTATTATTATTTGCAAATCGATTCTAAACCCTTTTATCATTCAGAACTGGATGTTCCAGTATATATAATGTCCCTAGGCTCCGGGTCTTAATATTCGTTCGACAGACGCAGGGTAGTAATAGGCTTAGCTTACTCCTAGTCCCTTCTAATCATGCACTCTCGGTCCATCCATGATTTTGATTTTTTTAATGATGTCCGTAGACATTGACTTGAATAGTACACTGGCTTCATTGGTGTAAGTGTAATTTCATTCAGTGCTGAGTGTTAAATGCAGTCTACTTATGCTCGATAGCTGAGTTTCTTAACAGTTGTATTAGAAGGGAAACAATAAAATAATAAAAAAAATATAAAATAATAAAAAAAATATTATTTTATTGTTTCCCTTCTACGTGACTTTACCGAAAGAACCAAGAATATGAATACCTGCAGTCACGAAAGCTTTTAATAAAAATGTGGTTGTATTAGAGTTTATGTGTGTGTATGTGTTATAGATTATGGGGGAGCGGTAGTGTAGCGGTTAGCGTGCTGCAGTGCGAACCCAGCGACCCGAGTTCCATTCCTGACCACGGCCAACACCAGTAACGATTATCTGAACTGGTCATGGGATAGATCGGCAGTGGTGCTGGCTACCCACCCCGTCGTGTGCCTGGCCAGTCTTCATAGGTGCTACTCGTTGTGAAAGGCGCGATCATCATCAGCCATGATCATCACTCCGCTGGCAGCGAATGGAGTGCGACTGTAGCCATGCAACACAAAGCGATGGACTACATCGTCACACCACTGTGGTCTCTCTCAGTTTTCAGTTTCAAGTATTTGGTATAGCCCTGTGAGCCATGCGGCTCTTGAATCGGGCGCAACCGCAACAAACAAAAAAACATGAACAAGAAAACATCTTAAAGTGACTATGCTCTTAAAGTGACTCTTTCATCGGAGGAATAACACAACTACACAAACTCTCTCTCTCTCTGCTGAAGCCCTGTTCTCGTGACCAGGAGCAGACCTCGACATTGGTCTTCAACTCCTGAACTAAACTAAACCAATTTTTATTCATCTTCCCAGGTAAGGCCCACTGAGCTATGAGCGTCTTTTTCAGAAGCGACCTGGTCATCACTCAACGAAGTGGATTTTCACGTAGAAATGTATAGCAGCAGACAAATACTCCAAGCAACCCGAGACGCACGTGATTCCGGGTGCGGTGTGCGTTCTCCGCAAGTTTGGTTCCACTTTCTTTGTCAATGTCCAAAGTTTCCGATTCATGTCAGGGCACAAAATAACCGCTCGCGTCGTTGTGCAGAGCATGAGTAACAAAACACGGTAGACAAAGAGAACATAGGCGCCCTCATATATCTGTCTGGTAACTGGTTATGTCCTCTTCGTGTGGTAACCATGGCTACTTAACTTTCACATGGTAGCCATGGTTATCGCGCCTTCACCTGATAACCATTATTTAACCTTCACCTGGCAATAATGGTGACTTAACGTTCACCTGGTAACAAAGGTGACCTCGCCTTCACCTAGTAACCACGGTTACCTAAACATCACCTGGTAACCACGGTTCCTCAACCATCATCTGGTAACCACGGTTACTTAACCATCTCCTGGTAACCACGATTACTTAAACATCACCTGGTAACCACGGTTACTTAACCTTCACCTGGTAACCATGGTTACCTAACCATCACCTGGTAACCATGGTTACTTAACCATCCCCTGGTAACCACGGATACTTAAACATCACCTGGTAACCACGCTTCCTCAACCATGATCTGGTAACCACGGTTACTTAAACATCACCTGGTAACCACGGTTACTTAACCTTCACCTGGTAACCATGGTTACCTAACCATCACCTGGTAACCACGGTTACTTAACCATCCCCTGGTAACTACGATTACTTAAACATCACCTGGTAACCACGGTTACTTAAACATCACCTGGTAACCACGGTTACTTAACCTTCACCTGGTAACCATGGTTACCTAACCATCACCTGGTAACCACGGTTACTTAACCATTCCCTGGTAACTACGATTACTTAAACATCACCTGGTAACCATGGTTACGTAACCATCACCTGGTAACCACGGTTACTCAACCATCACCTGGTAACCACGGTTACCTAACCATCACCTGGTAACCACGGTTACTCAACCATCACTTGGTAACCATGGTTACCTAACCATCACCTGGTAACCACGTTTACCTAACCATCACCTGGTAACCACGGTTACTCAACCATCACCTGGTAACCACGGTTACCTAACCATCACCTGGTAACCACGGTTACCTAACCATCACCTGGTAACCACGGTTACCTAACCATCACCTGGTAACCACGGTTACCTAACCATCACCTGGTAACCACGGTTACTCAACCTTCACTTGGTAACCATGGTTACGTAACCATCACCTGGTAACCACGGTTACTCAACCATCACCTGGTAACCACGGTTACTCAACCATCACTTGGTAACCACGGTTACTCAACCATTACCTGGTAACCACGGTTACTCAACCATCACTTGGAACACAACGGTTACTCAACCATTACCTGGTAACCACGATTACCTAACCATCACCTGGTAACCACGGTTACGTAACCATCACCTGGTAACCACGGTTACCTAACCATCACCTGGTAACCACGGTTACTCAACCTTCACTTGGTAACCATGGTTACGTAACCATCACCTGGTAACCACGGTTACTCAACCATCACCTGGTAACCACGGTTACTCAACCTTCACTTGGTAACCACGGTTACTCAACCATCACTTGGTAACCACGGTTACTCAACCATCACTTGGTAACAACGGTTACTTAACCTTCACCTGGTAACCATGGTTACCTAACTATCACCTGGTAACCACGGTTACTTAACCATCCCCTGGTAACTACGATTACTTAAACATCACCTGGTAGCCACGGTTACTTAAACATCACCTGGTAACCACGGTTACTTAACCTTCACCTGGTAACCATGGTTACCTAACCATCACCTGGTAACCACGGTTACTTAACCATCCCCTGGTAACTACGATTACTTAAACATCACCTGGTAACCACGGTTACTTAACCTTCACCTGGTAACCATGGTTACCTAACCATCACCTGGTAACCACGGTTACTTAACCATCCCCTGGTAACTACGATTAGTTAAACATCACCTGGTAACCACGGTTACTTAACCATCACCTGGTAACCACATTTACTTAACCATCACCTGGTAACCACGGTTACTCAACCTTCACTTGGTAACCATGGTTACGTAACCATCACCTGGTAACCACGGTTACTCAACCATCACCTGGTAACCACGGTTACTCAACCATCACTTGGTAACCATGGTTACCTAACCATCACCTGGTAACCACGTTTAACTAACCATCACCTGGTAACCACGGTTACTCAACCATCACCTGGTAACCACGGTTACCTAACCATCACCTGGTAACCACGGTTACCTAATCATCACCTGGTAACCACGGTTACCTAACCATCACCTGGTAACCACGGTTACTCAACCTTCACTTGGTAACCATGGTTACGTAACCATCACCTGGTAACCACGGTTACTCATCCATCACCTGGTAACCACGGTTACTCAACCATCACTTGGTAACCATGGTTACGTAACCATCACCTGGTAACCACGGTTACTCAACCATTACCTGGTAACCACGGTTACTCAACCATCACTTGGAACACAACGGTTACTCAACCATTACCTGGTAACCACGATTACCTAACCATCACCTGGTAACCACGGTTACCTAACCATCACCTGGTAACCACGGTTACTCAACCATCACTTGGTAACAACGGTTACTTAACCTTCACCTGGTAACCATGGTTACCTAACTATCACCTGGTAACCACGGTTACTTAACCATCCCCTGGTAACTACGATTACTTAAACATCACCTGGTAACCACGGTTACCTAACCATCACCTGGTAACCACGGTTACCTAACCATCACCTGGTAACCACGGTTACTCAACCTTCACTTGGTAACCATGGTTACGTAACCATCACCTGGTAACCACGGTTACTCATCCATCACCTGGTAACCACGGTTACTCAACCATCACTTGGTAACCACGGTTACTCAACCATTACCTGGTAACCACGGTTACTCAGCCATCACTTGGAACACAACGGTTACTCAACCATTACCTGGTAACCACGATTACCTAACCATCACCTGGTAACCACGGTTACCTAACCATCACCTGGTAACCACGGTTACTCAATCTTCACTTGGTAACCATGGTTACGTAACCATCACCTGGTAACCACGGTTACTCAACCATCACTTGGTAACCACGGTTACTCAACCATCACTTGGTAACCACGGTTACTCAACCATTACCTGGTAACCACGGTTACTCAACCATCATTTGGTAACCACGGTTACTCAACCTTCACTTGGTAACCACGGTTACGTAACCATCACCTGGTAACCACGGTCACCTCACCTGCTGGCCGCCGCATCACACGAGCTCGCGCGTCACTTCCTGCGCTACGTCACTTCCTACAGTCATTCGCGTACAGCAGCAAGCATGGCCGACATCCGTGGTGGTGAGTGACCGCGCGCCTCTGCCGTGCTCTCTCCACTACTGGTTGTTGTTGTTGTGGTTGTTGTGGCTGGAACCCGGCACGCGGCGGCTGCTGGAGTCTCGGCCGAGGAGGAGTTTGAGAGGGGGTGGGGGGGGGGGAATCGTGCCGACGGTAACAGGTTCGGCTTCGCCCTTGACCTCGGCCATTGCCTGTGAGGAAGTGATGGGTGCTCACGTGTTTCTGTGTATACAAGCGTGTGTTTACATACGACCCTGTGTATACACGCGTGTTTACATACGACCCTGTGTATACACGCGTGTTTACATACGACCCTGTGTGTATACACGCGTGTGTGTGTGTTTACATACGTCTTTGTGTGTATACGCGTGTGTTTACATACCACCCTGTGTGTACACACGTGTATACATACGACCCTGTGTGTACACACGTGTATACATACGGCCCTGTGTGTATACACGTGTGTTTACATACAACCCTGTGTATACACGCGTGTTTACATACGACCCTGTGTGTATACACGCGTGTGTGTGTTTACATACGTCTTTGTGTGTATACGCGTGTGTTTACATACCACCCTGTGTGTACACACGTGTATACATACCACCCTGTGTGTACACACGTGTATACATACGACCCTGTGTGTACACACGTGTATACATATGACCCTGTGTGTACACACGTGTATACATACGACCCTGTGTGTACACACGTGTATACATACGACCCTGTGTGTACACACGTGTATACATACGACCGTGTGTACACACGGTGTGTGGCCCGTGGGGCGCGGTAGTGTAGCGGTTAGCGCGCCGCACTCTCACCCCGAGTTCGATTCCCGCTCACGGCCAACGCCAGTGTTTACACGTTGCTCCTTCCTATGTACGTGTATTTACACGTGTCGTGTTATGTCATTTTGTAGTTTCACTTCTGTGTGTGCTCACGGCCAACACCAGTAACGATTCTCTGAATTTGGTGTGGGCCTCCTCTAGGTCGACTCAGCCTCAATTGAGTACCTCGTGCGATGTGTAAACATCGTCACTGGGGAGACAAAGGCGGTCCGGCGTGGTGTTCGCCACCCACCTCCTCGCGTGCCGTTCAGGCCTTATAGGTGCTCGTTAACTGCACTTGCTCCAACAGTTTGTTAATGCTACACGGCGGATCTTTGTCTTTGTTGAGTGTGACACTATTCTGCCTCATCGTGTCGTGATTAGTACCTGATAGGATCTGAGTTCAGCCCCATAATCTTGGTCATCATTCTTCCTCGAGGGTCGGTAAAATGAGTACAGTGTCACCTTTTCATGAAATTAGTCAAACGCGATTGCTACCTTATTGATAATCCAGGCACTGCCATATTAACGTGGAATCTTCACCACTGGCCCAGTAGATGTACTCAACACCACACACACAACAACGCTTATTTGAGCTAGTAATGACACGTTCGCCTTTAGTGGTGTCAGGCAAATTGCATGTTGCTACTGCCCAGAAAGTGGACTGACCTAAACACTTAGCATCTTTGCATCAGTACCATGTGTGTGTGTGATCATGTGTTCCTCTTTTAGTCTCGGTGTAATTCCAAGCACGTGCTTCTCCCATGCTTCCCTGCGCATTTTCAGATTTTATTCCATTTTCTTTGTCAGTGCCAACTTTTTTTGTGATCACTGTCAAAGTGGGTGATATACCTCTTCAGTACACACTTAGTCAAGTCGTGTATGTGTGTATGCTGAACTTCATTCGCACCGTACGTAACCAACCTTACTAATCAGAGGTGCGGGGGAAGGACAATAAACTAAACACAAAAATCAGTTCTAAAGTAATTAGTTATCAGTCTGTATGATTTAAAAGTGCATTGCTCCAGTGGCTTCCCAATGTTCCTGATGACCGCAGACGCGCAACTGAAAGCACGTGATGCGGTGACCCTCTTTGTTCAATGGCTAGCCAAAAGCCGCTGCTGCGAGGATGATGTTTTATTACTCCTACACGAGATGAGCCAAGGTATCTTGGCTCATCTGTTGCCTAGCGCTTTGTGCACCAGTGTGATCGCAGACCGACGATTACCGTACTGGCCGTGTTGAACACCCATCCCTGGCTTTCAGATCGGACCCTGCGCCACGTGGAGATGGACGTTCTCATTCCCAAGAAGATGCGGGAGAAGGGGCAGGTCTTGTGCTCCGAGCACGTGAACGGTACCGCAGTTTCACATATTCCCATATATCATAGTCACGTTCATCCCAAGTTGTCGCTTTCAGATTCTGCTTGCACTGTGAAGGATATTCTAGTTATGGTTCTGCCTACAATACCAGTCCCGTGTCCTGGTGGCAAGATGTTCACTCCCCTTGCCTGGTGTACAAGAGGAGATGGGTTCGATCCCGACCCTGACGATGCCTGTGTGTTCTCCTTGTAGATGCGTGGATTTTTCTCCGGGCCCTCTGATTTTTCCGTCCACATTTAGAAACACACGTTTAGAGTATTTGGCTGCTATAAATTTCCACGTGATGATGATAAGCAACTTTGTTGCGCTATTAATTTGTGGCCAGGTCGCTTCTGAAAAAGAGCTACATAGCTTATCACGTGGAAATGGAGAGCAGCCAAATATTTTAAACGAGTGATGTTGACTCTAAATTTGTAGAGAAAAACTGGAGGAACTGGAGAAAAATCCACGCAATCGCGGAGAGAGAGAGAGAACGCGCAGACTCTAAATATACAGCAGGTGTCAGGGTTGGGATCGAACCCATGAACTGTATACCAGGCGAGGTCGTTAACATCTCCTAGCCACCGTGGCGCCCTTCCTCTTAACATGGCGAATGGTAGCGCCTCTCGTGACGGCAGGGTCAGCATGACCCTATGACACATACACATTTAAAAACGTTAGTTCGTAAATGCGCGGTTTGATGCAAGTATTGTGATACCAAAATAAAATGAATTCATTGCCTCATTCAATTCCTTAGTTACACGCATGCACACACCTCTGCTGGAGTTTTTTTTACGCGTTGCACTTGGACTGTTTCACACCGACGCAACACGTGTTCGCCGTGTATGTACGAATGTTGAATTTCTTTTCCACCGTACGTAACCAACTGTGCTAATCGGAGGTGTGATGTATGTATGTTGAACTTCATTTGCACCATATGTAGCCAACCATACGTAGAGCAGCCCATTAGTGTTGCTGTGTGTGCGTGCGTTGCTGTGTGTGTGTGCATTGCTCTGTATGTGTACGTTACTGTTTATCTGTGTGCGTTGGTGTGTGCGTGCGTTGCTGTTTGTGTGCGTGGATTGCTGTGTGTGTGTGCGCGGCAGCTTTCAGCGAGTGCTGCAAGTCCAGCAGCGTGTTCATGGTGTTCAAGTGCCGCAAGGAGAACACCGCGCTGAAGACGTGTCTCACTAGTTAGTAAGTCTCACCGGTTAGTAAGTCTCACTAGTTTGTAAGTCCCACCGGCTAGTAAGTCCCACTGGCTAGTAAGTTTCACCAGTTAGTAAGTCCCACTGGCTAGTAAGTCTCACTGGTTAGTCAGTCTCACCGGTTAGTAGGTCCCACCGTACCTGCTCTGCACCGCTCAACGTTTCAATTTTATTTCCCCGACACGGTGACATTGAGTAATGCGTGGCATTGTTACGTCACGAAACATTTCAGAATCATCACTCATTTTTTATATTCATGTTCTCTTTCACACGATGGGCTAAGATATTTCTAATGATGATGCTCTGGGATCCTAGCTCAACTCGGCTATGCAGGAACTACACAGATATAGGCATTAGCTCGCGTATGTAACACCGAAACCAGAGATGGGATGTATCTAGGCGAAAATATGCAAATGTAAAGCTATGCAAAAAATCTATTGTACAACAGTGGTAACTAGTGGCTAAGTCAATAACTCTCAAATGGACGCGCGTAGGAAGGTGTTGTCGTGGGGGACACGTGGCTAACACCCCCTTGCTGTTTGTTGTTGTCGTGTCAACGTGCGCGCACACGTGTGTGTGTGTCCTTGCCCTCAGCTACAGGGACCCGGAGTTCTACGACATGTGCAAGCGCGAGTACCTGCAGGAGAAGGAAGACTTCCAGATAAGGGGGATTCCTTTGAAACTGCGGAAGCAGCAGCAAGCGGCGGCCGCAGCCGCAGCGGGTGGGAATCAAGAAGCGGGACATTGACATCGCCCCCCCCCCGTCTCATGTCTGGCGATTACTTTGAAAAGGGATACATTTGAAAATGGAAATGTGTCACTTCGAAGGATAGAAAAAACAGATTCTGTGGTATCAGCTAACTGAATGTCTTCAGGGAAAACTGTCGATAGCTCTGTAAATGTGCCCTTTGGAATGCCAAGTGTTTTATTTTTTATGATTCGTAAGTAGTCACGTTGACCGTGATAGGCGATTCCTAACCACCACGGCCACTCGCCCCCTCAATTGACGAAATGAGTGAAGGCGTCGCAAGTGAATTGAGCATCCCACGCTCGAAATCATTCTTCCCTGAGCAAAAAATGTCAGTCTTGTCTCAGCAGCAGAAAATAAATAAAAGTAAAATACGGTATTCATTGCAGAAGGTTTCCAGAGAAATTGATGTTCTAACAAGGCATCGTGAAGAAACACCCTGTAACAGGGGTGTTTCCCCTGTAACAGACATAAGACGTGCAAAATATGTCCGACCTTTGTGTATTATGAGCATTATGTTTATACATAAGGGGTTACACGTATGTACAAGTATATACATAAATATGTATTCCTATGTTTGTTGTGATGCACTTTTATACGTTTAAGCCCAAGTGCAAACTAGCCTGGGCATTTATTTTTAACACTGCATCTTCAACTCGTCTGTGGCATTCGGATTCACCAAAGCACCCGAACTCCACATTGAGAAAACAGCGGCCTCCTTCCCGTCCTGCCACCGTCAGGATTCCCATTCCCCCCGCCAGGTTTATTGTATGATTGTATGTACAGTCGATCATCGATTATCCGCCAGCTTCGGGGGGGGGGGGGGGGGGGGGTGAGGGGGCACCGGATATTTTAAAACGCCGGATAATCTCTAATTATAAATATTAATAAGTATGTTTGCACATTCTTGTATGACATGTTTTTTAGGTGTTGTTATATACTTGTGTTTTAAATTTGTTTAATATGTGAAATTGGCATAAATAGACAAATAAATATCCTACTTTAAAAAGTTATTGTATTTACTGTACCGTGCTTACCACTCCAATCTCGAAGACTGCATGGGGTGATGCATATACATGCAGTATTCTCATTAAGTTGTACGTAGTGTATAATGTACTGTATTTATTTAACAGTGAAATCAAGCGTAGCTACTTTTTTTCTCATGCACATGGTGCCGATCAGTGGACTGGATTGGTTTTGCCGGATCAGCCTGAGACCGCCGGATAATGTTGGAAGCCGGATAATCGTGCGCCGGATAATCGATGATCAACTGTATTAGCTTTGTAAAAGTCCGCATACTCCTTAAAGCTGCTGGATTACAGGTTCCCTGCCATCAGAAGCTAGAATTAGACCAACATTCCAGGATGTGTCAACAGATGTGAAAAAGGTACTCGCCTGAGTTGAGACCCGTGCCGAGATAAGACAGCCACAAAATGAACATCAGTCTTGCCCTGTAGGCCGCTACAACCAAACCAGCTGTGCCCGGTGGATATTTTTTTTGCCTCGCATCTTCCCCATGGCCGAATGTGTCTTACCTGCTCAAACCAGCCTGCGTCAGGGAATGCCAGCCATTCGGTGATCCAGACACGCATTCAATTTGGACAACTCCAGGGGCAAGCTGGTCTGTTATCAGACGCAGGGGTTGGCATCGCGCTGAAAACATTTTGTAAAAAAAAAAGGAAAACTTATGTTACAAAAAAGTAAAAACTATTGCAAAGTTATTTTTAAAACCCAAAAAAGTGAGGAGTGGTTAATTAAAGTACCTTACGCTTTAGAATCCATTAGCATTGAATGGATGCCTAGGAATCCCCGAGCATTTGCCACGTGGCACGCGCTCGTGGCTTGATCACCTGGCGAGTTCCTGCACGCCGAGCCGGGTGTCGTCGCATTGTCGCCACGGCGTTCTTCTCGGGAGAATTTCCCTCCTTCGGGGTGCTGCTCTGTCCTGAGCCTGTACCTACCGGCCATCGTTCCCTTCTCGCGAGGTGCCACGATGAGTATTGTAGTCTTACATAATGTGTACAAGTTCCCGAAGAATTTCATCGTCATCGCGATGCACGGGCAGATAGCCCCGTTAGGTGTCCACTGCACGTTTCGTCATTTGTTTCCACTTTCCTGTCTTGTGCCAATGTGCTCAAGGAGTGGCCACATTTCTGACACCAGTCTTATGTCGTCGTGAAGCCATTCTCTAAAAATTGTTGACCCTTTTTGGCAGTAAAACAGGTGTTAAGATGTTCAAACAGCAAATAGAAACCTTCTGCAAGGAATAAAGTCTGCATTAACCACACACAGTACTTGTGGTGAACATGCAAACAAACATCCTCTGGTGATATATATGCATTGTCTTTGAATTGGCTGACACCAGACAGAGCCCTCTTAATGGCCTAGTCTCACCAGTGTCAGACCAGAAAGGGTAAAACCTATTATTTTTCATACTTTGATACTGGTGTAGTGTCAGCGGAGCGGGAGACGAGGTTTTTCACGAGCACCTTTATTAACTTGACGCCTTCAGGTTCGCCCTCGCACACTCCCTCGTCGTCTAGCCGAGCCTTAATACAACCCTGACCGTGTAACACCGATGGCGCTGACCGAGACAGCCAACAACTCTGGGCCGTGCAATACCTAGCGAAGATGGCAGTGACGAAGGCAGCGAAGACGACAGACGAGTCCACTGCCAGAAGCGGTAGCCACGAGCTCCTGCTCTCAGCTGCTTTTATGCTCCCTGGCGCCACCTGGCTCCGCCCTGGCCGCGCCTCCCTTCTCAAACCCACTAGCAGGTTCCAGGGGCTTCCAGATGGGGCCTTCCATGACACTTGCCCCAATCCGTCCGCCCTGCCGACACAGGCGTGTAGATGCTCACCGGCGTGTGTGCTGCTTGTCCACCGCAGTTGCTGGACAACAGTTGGCGCTATTAACACTACACTGGTTACAAAAGTTTCCATGGTCAAGCCATTCTCTCTCGTCTTCCTCTCTTTCTGGTTTCTTCGATTTTTCCGATCACACTTAATTTTCCTGTTTGTCCATCCTACCTGTGTCCAAATATTGCCAACTTCCTTCTCACTGCCTGCATCATCATCCGGTTGTCTTCTTCTCTGTGCAACAATTTTCTTCTACGTTGGTCACTCTTTAGGTCCAGCTTAAAGCGTTTCACCATTACCGAATCTGTAATGAGTGGATTGCAACCGTCAGTTTAATAATGCTCAGTAGTAAGATTGTAAATAGAAAACGATATCTTTATTTTCTAATTTAACATGCAGAATTCACTCAACTGTACAATATATAGAATCGATCACGTAAAAGTGATTACGGCAAACCTGTTTATTAATTTACCAATTTAAGCGCGCGACTTTTGTCAAATACAAAAAAACATCATTCCTGCGAACAGCTTTGCATTTCACATCTGCCACATTAACAGCCAAGCACAAGCCAACCAATTCGGATCGCCCCCCTCTTCGAGATTCGCAAATCATCAACGCCACTGCCGCGACATCACAGGGACCACGTGGTCATTCCCCCCCACGTGACCCCACGGGACCCGCGGTGTTGGGCCCCGTGGGGTAGCGTGCGCACCCAGTGTGTTTGTGTGTACGACCCACATGCACAGCAGCAAGCTCAACCGCTGTGGAGCAATCACATCGGACACCTTTCTGAAAGAGCTGTAGGTCTCGCGCTGTTTGTGTGTTTAGTTTGATGTCCTTCCCCCACCCTCCCGGCACCTCAGATGAGCACGGTTGACTACATACGGCGCGGAAGAAGTTCAACATACAGTATATAACATAAAGGTCGTCTCTCATACTTGTCGTCTTTAGGACCCGCAGTCTCTGGGCTGTCAAAATTCTTTGTTGAGCACCACGTGTGCAGTTCGTTGTAAGTGACTTTTCAACTCACGTTTCCCCCGCAGTGTGACCGGTGCCCAAACACGTTTACATCAACAGACCAAGACCAACATCGACGCATCAACATCGTCAGCATGAAAGCTGTGTGGGGGGAGGGGGGTTGAGCCCTGATATCAAACAATGAGTAATCGCAGCAAACAATATGCAGCCTATTCCTGACCAATCTATTCTACCGCAAGTGTCCCTGCACTGCTTTCTGTATACGCACCTGTGCACGAAGTGTATAGTTATATCTTGACTTAAAGCTTTCGTGACTGCAGGAATTCATATTCTTTGGGTCTTCAGGTGAAAAAAATAGCTTTTTTCACCTGAGGACGATTGCTTGTGTTGCGATCGAAACGTCGTGATAGTTATTATTTTGATTATTTTCTATCTACGTGGCTTTATCGAAAGACCCCAAGAATGTGTTGTTATAGCTAGCGGCCAGGAAAGAATCCAGTTTCCATTCTCTGCAGGTGCATTAAATTGCCCGTATTAATTTCAGAACGCTCTATAATTGTGACATTTCCCCAATGCCCTTTCAATTTACGCCACTGCTGCTTCCCTTCCCACGATGATACGCCGGGCTCGTTCAGCAAAGCGCCCAGCGGGGGGGCTATGGGACCCGTGGTAATGCCACCTCGGGCCCAATTTACCCAACAACGGATGTTTGGGAAGCTGGTGCGCGTAATTTGGGAGGTGGGACTTCGGCCCGAGCTGCGTACCACAACAACGCCCCGCGCGTCTGTTGGGATAATTTGCACGCACGGCGTTCCAATTGTGCAGGGGGGGGGGGTGCTTTGCGAGGCCTCCCGGAATCAAACATCGATTTGGAAATCATCAAAATTTCTGTTCTTGCCGGACAATATACGCACCGGCTCTCTGGCTCACGGGGACAAATAATTTGCGAGTTTGCAACTTGAAAATAAAATATGCAGTGCACAGCATATACACAACACCCTGAATGTCACCGTGTTGCGCCAAGCAACAGATTTGCTCTGTATGACACCGGCAACCTTCGCAGGACCGCCTGACCTCGAGACCGCGTCTGCTCAGTGGTCGTCGCCCCCACATTAATTAAGGATCCTATGTGGACATTGCATCCAATATCAGGGAGTTGGGCACGCCACAAAACCCTGCTGCAGTTCGCAACACGTCGGAGGACACCACTCGTCCGGTGCAGGCCGGGATGACGTTACCGCTCTCGAGACCCACAGCAGCCCAGAGGGCCAGGGACGTGACTCAGTAATAGCAGCCCTCCTATCCAGAGCCTGGTAGAGAGGGCCTTACCGGAATTTATATAAAAACCTGGCACCACCTGAAGGAATGTATTCATATCAATTTACTCCTCTCGCTTCCCCTGCTTTCGGAAAAAAAACCCGTCGACTTTCCTTCCTGAAGAGGGCATCTCTTTTTGTTTTGGTCTAATTGTGTACACGGCGGTTGCTCAAACGCCTCTAGAATAGGGCATCGAAATAAACGCGCGCTAACGCGACTACAGTATTGCGATGACGATGGAAACTAACGCAGGAAAATGGATTCTCCCGTGACCAGTACGGACGATGTCTCAAACATTTGACCGTCCACCTTGCACAATGTATACGTATCTAATACACTCATGCATATAATATATCTATTGCCTGTGCCACCCTCCCGCGCTTGCATTGTGTAATCATTTAAGGGTCTGCGACCTATTGACGCTGAAGCCCACAACCTGTGTGTGTAAATGCTTAATGCTTACTACATACACTGCTGTCAACGAGGGTCATACAATCCCCGGGCACACTGAAGATGATGTTATTGTTGCCCGGTTCGCATGCGGCCTTCTCGTGCACATAGAAAACACGCGCGCGTGCACAGGTTCCCAACACACGGAGTTTCCTAAAATGAAGTTAATTACAGTGAAGGCTTATTGGATATTAATGACGTAAGTGCTCCTACACACGCAGTAGATTCCTCATCGCGTGAACAAGAGGGACTGTGGTGCCCCGTGACGATAGCAACCTAACCACGGAAGCCGTTCAGGCGTTTCTGCACAACGTAGGCTTTTTCTTGTGCCGTCTTAACAACACGGGGGTGTTTATTGAAGTGTAAAAGATGTTCAGTAGAATTGGGGGGGCTGGGGGAGGAACCATACAATTATGTTTTTAGAGGAAAGTTGAAATTTTATAAAATTCTGATGCCGACCACTGGGCCCATTTCACACACCGGCTTCACGCCATGTCAACTTTGCCACGTGAACGCCAATGTCATTGTTCCAAGCATATATATAAAAAAGTTGCACGTGTAGTTCCTTAGCGCAGTAAAGTTCGCAAACGATTTAGACCGCGAGACTGTCGCCACGGTGGCGAGATGTTAACTACCTCGCCCGGTATTCAGGTCGAGGGTTCAATCCCGACCCTGACGCCTGTTGTATATTTGGAGTCTGCGTGTCTCTTCCCCGTGGTCGTGTGGATTTTTCTCCGGCTCCTCCGGGTTTTCCCTCCACATTTCGAATCAACATCACCACGCGTTTAGAGGGTTTGGCCGCTGTAACTTTCCACGTCATGATGATAAGCCACTTTGTTGAGCTATTTATTTGTGATAGCCAGGTCGCATCTGAAAAAGAGACAGCTCAGTGGGCCTTTACCTAGTAAAATGAAATAGTAAAATAAAATGAATAGGGTGCCAATATATTTTAATATTACACTTAATATCATATCAACAAAGAGCCTTTATCATTTTAGTGGTGAAGTCGACTGTCAGGAAGGGGCGGAGGTGAACTCAAGAGACGTGGACAAGAGCCGCCTCCTACACGGCAGTCACCGTGACACAATCCGTGCCGACGAAAACCTTTGCGCGTGCACGGAAAAGCTACGCCGAAACGCTCGTGCGTGCGATAAGCCAAGTGTGACACGTGCGGTGAAGTGAGCCCAAGTGCTGCACGGAAACAAAGTAAATTTTGTAAGACCTAGTTATTACACACGCGTGGGACAGGGGTTGTGAACAGCGGAAATACTGCAGACAAGCCCTTGATCTTGTCGAGGCTGCACCAGCACGGCGCGCACGCGCGCTCACAGACATGGTTCGATGGAAACGCCGACTTGAAAAGCACAACGATGAAAAAAACCCAACAGTGGGAACGCAGACGCCCCTCAAAGGGTGATTTGCTTGAACATGTGAGCGGCTGAAATCCCTGCATCCACAGTCGGGGCCGCTGGGCCCCAGCACGCAAAAGGGAGGAGCGCGCAAACGTACTAAAAAAAAAACTTAAATAACCCCCCCCCCCCCCCCAGAAAATGCCATCCACAACCGAGCAACCTCGTTCGGTCGCTGCTGAGGAGAACGTCATTCTCGAGTACTCCGCAACTCATGCACAGTACGGAGGCCAAGTCAGAGTCTGGTATGCGAGCGCTGTGGACAGAGCGGAGAGCAGCAGAGCCATCGCCCATCGTGTCATCGTGACATTTACCCAATGTCCTCGAGGGACGATTCATGCTTGTGGAGAAACCAGTGTTCAGCGGCGCAAGACGCACACACTTTTTGATATGCAACATATACACACACACATACAGTTAAGGCATACCATTACAATTTATATATTGCATAAACAAAAACAACAACGTTCCTTGCAGTAACATATAATGACAATTTTTTTAACTTTTTATTTTTTCAGGTAGAAAATAAACAATTACACTTTTGCATTTATTCAATACTAACGGTTGTCAGTAGAATTAGGCGGTAACAATAAAATCAGGGGTCATTCGATTAGCAACCAACAATGGTGGACCAGTGAAAGGATGATTTCTTGACAAAGTTGAGACCTGCATCGAGGGCAGTGGCGTATGAGCCTCAAGTTTCAACAGATACAACTTTCCCAAAATAAAATAAAAATTGCCGCCATCTTCAAATGGGGCACAAACACTCCGTGTTTAAGCGCCGCAACTTTTGTCGATTTGTTCCGTGAAAAAAAAAAGTTTCAAACGCGACTGCTATTGTATAGTCGATTCCAATCAGCGCGAGCATTGGAAGGCGTGAGACCCCCCACCCCCAACACCGTGGGCTCCCCCCCCCCCCCCCCCCGGTTTGGCTGCTCGGTCGAGCGCTGACACGACCCCAGGGAGAGATCCAGGAACTGGTGCCTGCTTCGGGTCTTGTTCACCAATCACGAAGGGGAGTGATTTTTACCCTTATCAAGACGGATTACTCTAGAATTCTTATTTAACATCTATGCCGTCAAAACTCAAAACATTCAGCTTTGCATTGTTTTCTCATTCCCATGATGAATTGTGACGTCGTCCAGCCAACTGTAGCTCAGTCGATGTCATAGAACGACATTTTTAAATATTCTGAAATGCCACAAAAAACACTTTGCGAGTAATGCGGATGAATAAAAACACAAATTTGGCTCAGCAACATGAATGCGGGGTAGTTTCACCGTTTGACTTGAGATTCACCTTGGGCAATATTTTCACTTGAATATTTTAAACTACTGACCAGTGAAGTGACGTGGGACACGCTTCCTGAAGTCGACCACTTCGAACACGCGTGGACCCGCATTAATTAATAATTCGTGTAATATGCAACGTGTGCATGTGTGTATGAATGTGGCCAATGTAGGTAGGCAATACTAAAACAATGTTATGTTGAGTATCCGTGTTTGTCATGTTTAATAATATTAACCTAAAGCGAAGCTAAAGCGGTACAACGTTCCTGGGCATAGCTTGACGTTGTACAACACTCCGATATGGAAGTACAAACTGTCGACTTAAATTTGCAACATAGTTGCTCGTAACCGGGTTAGTCGCAGCCCATATCTGTGACCATTAATGCAGCAGCAACTCGGGGAAGAAGGCCTAACGGCAGACACCAACACCCTGGATGACCCAGCTCAAGATCACTTGAACATGGAAAAGAATATAGAAGGGCATGGCAAAGTGCCTGCTCAGGCCTTTTGAGAGAAAAATGTATAAAGCATTTTTGAGAAATAAAAAATTTGAAAATACACGTGAAGCAACTCAGACGAGAGACTTGCCACATTCACTTTTTAGCTTTCAGATTACCACGACAACCCCCCGTGACTCGATCCAACGCATCAGAGCACGAGTGAAAACGCAGTGGGACGAACGTTGCTCGACACTCGGCACGGCCTCACGCGACAAAGTACATCTGCGTCGTAACCGCCGACCAACAACGCAAAAACCAATAAAGCGAGGATAAAACTAATCCCAAGTAAGTTGCACCGTTTATAACTTCACTTTAAGTAATCAAAGGTTTGTGTGCATGTCCGCACGTCGAGTGCGTACGCAAGCACCGCGTACACTGTGGTAGCGCGCGTGTGCTCATGTACGTGCGGGTGAATATACGTGCATGCATGCGTGTACGACTGCACATACGCTTTGTGTACCAGACAAAAAGGGCCAGCCGCTCGTCAAAGTTTCTGGGCATTCTCCGGCACAGCTCTCGACAGCAACCCGGCGCACCCCCCCCCCTGCCCCGCAGGCGCCAGCGGTGGATGGCGCCCCTCACGTCGACACTCGCGCACGCACCGTGGGGCGACTTCTGCCGTCGAGGCACCACGGCCACTCCTCGCCGCCCCCCCGCTCCAATCCCCAGTCCCCCTCCCCCACTCGCTCCCTCGCTCGCTCCTCTCATCGCCGAGCCCGGGTCTCAGATGCAGCTTGCGTGCTCCAACCGCCGCCGCCGCCGTCAACGCCGTGACCTCGGTTGCGACGCGAGGCTCCGTGAGGCTGGGCACCGCCAGCCTCCCTCACCATGGAGCAAGTTCACACGTTACTCCTTTCTTTCAGCCTGTCCTTCCTGCTCACCTAAAAAAGTGGGGATGTGGGGATGGAGGGGGATTGGGAGAGGCAACAAAGCACACGAGGGGGCAACAATGCGGTTGGATTTTGCACCTCGCTGCGCGACGTGCGAACGAGAGCCAGGTGAAAGCTTGGGCTGAGAACGATCGCCACTCGCCTCATCTGCCTCGGCAGCCCGATATACGCAACCCATTTTGTTGTTGTCGTTTTGTTTCATCGTCAAAGTGTTCACTGTGCACAGTGCGCTTAAAATGGGAGAGAAAATAAATCCAGATTTCTATGGCGGGGAACGGATTGTCCAAAGATTCAACCACCTTTGACTTCCCATCACGTATCACGTGTGGTGGGCCTCACTAAGCGTTGCTCGTACAAGACCCGGAGGAAATCTGGCAAAAGGAGGCATTGAAGGAGCTTCGGTTTATTTTCCATGCCAAAGCCTTGTGAACTCCGAATGGCTGTTACGAAATAAAAGCCAGGGTTGGAATACTCTGGTCATATTTGAGGTGTAATACAGAGCAGAGCATCCATCTGACCTGCAATATAAACGTAGCCTGAGATCCCACATTGTTCATTCGTCTAAATTCAGTGCGTATATGTGTAAGTGACGCAAGTAACGTGCAGGGCCCCTTTGTAAAGCCATCGCTGGGGCGAAGACCTCCCCGTGGCGTGTGGACATGGAAGGAATTCGGCAACACATCACCACACACCGCACACAATCGTCACTTGCATCCTCCTCGCCTTGGCTGATCTTATTTTCGATGCTTTGCATGGATCACCCCGCATCAGGAATGGATAACCGAGGGTCTTAGCAGGACAGGGCTCCACCGCATACAAAGTGTGTGGAGAGCGCCAGTGGCGAGATGTTATCGCCCTCGCCCAGTATGAAGGATGTGGTGGGTTCGATGCAGACCCTGACGACGCCTGTATATTTGGAGTTTGCACGTCTGTCCCCGTGGCCGTGTGAATTTCTTTCCGGGTCCTCTGGTTTTTCCCCTTCACATTTGGAATCGACGTGCGTTCACGAGCATGCGGCCTCTATAAATTTCCACACGTGATGAGCCACTTCGTCGAGCTATCCTCTGTGGCCAGGTGGCCCGCTGAAAAACCGCTCAGTGGGCCTTACTTGGGGTAAAATAAAAAAAATGGTTTAAAGTAATTTTTACCTCAGGCGGGGGCTTCACAGAGACGGGCTGGGAGGGTCGGCGAGGCGGCGACGGCTTGGGCTGCGCCTGCTGCTGCGCCGTATTGTAGTACGTCACTCCGCCATAAACCTGAGACTGCGCCTTCAAACCGAACAGCGGGAGTGGGCGCGCGAGCAGAAAGGGGGCGCGCGCGTTAAAGGCATCACTCCTCTTGCTACCTTCACGCTCGACGACAAAACCACTCGCCCGCCATTCGCAACGCGCGCACGCAACACAACAGAAGCCCCGGCGCGCACACGTACAGAGGAGGCAGCGGGCAGGGCGGAATAGGAAGGGGCCAAGCGAGGGAAGGAGAATATAAAGATATTGAGGGCAGGTCACGAAAAGCAAGGTTGATAATTAATTTATCAGGAGAGACTTGAAAGCAGAGAGAGCGAGAGAGGAAAGCAATGAAGATACCCCACGTGTTCATGGGCGGGTCATGTGGGACTCAAATCCAACTGCCGTTCCTTTAACTTCAGTAAACGAGTGAAATATTTGCACGGCAAGGCCCCGCTTAACGCGTGTTCACACAACGCGTCTGTGCTGGAACGCGGTGCTTCTCTTACAGAACGCTTTTCACACAACGCGGAACGTGCCCAGTTATAAAGCGAGTGCCGAGCTGTCGACAACAAACTACCTTCTTGTGCTGCTTGCGGCTGAGCGGTACGGGAATTCTGGGTACACACGCGGAGTGATGCGGTACGCGGTGGCATAAGCTCGTCTCACTTGTTTGGCCCGCAATGGGATGACTGCAGGCTGATTTTATAGTTCAAATGTGATTCAAATTTGTGCTGCTTTTATTTCTTTGGTTTAACATGCAGGCTTTCGCAACCCAACAGGTAATGGATACCCATTGTAATTTATATTAATTCATGAATCCCCCCCCCCCCCCATGCGCACGTGAAGGGCTCACAAGTGAAGTCATCACAAGTGAAGTCATCACATGTATCCCTCTATTTAAGGAACGAAACAAGAGGATTTCTCCACAAATCTGGCTGTCCGCGTGATGATGCTAGTTGTCATAACTGGCGAAACGTCACTCAGATTGTAAATCTTGTGGCTTTGCTCTCCAACACACCGGTGTGCTGTACTAGTAGCGAATGGGCATGTTCTGTTTAAGTGACAAACCTTACGAATTGGCTGTTAGGTGGTGGCGGGTTTAATAAAACATTAATATTTATGCGATCTAACCCAAAAAACTAGATTATGCATTTTATTTATTCATCATGTATATACAGTAATTCCTTGCTTAACGCATTCTCGCTTAACATGGCACTTTTAATGAACGCATCTACTGCGTTAAAATGAGTTACTGTAATTAGCATGTTAAAGGAAAGTGTCAAGTGTTTTACATTGTTTTTTTCTCTCTTCTTTAGTTCCCTCCCATCGTCTTGAAGAGAACATGGTGGTGGAATTAGATCCCTTTACTTGCACACCACAAGGAGAAGACTCTAGCGTTCAATCCCCGTCTTACGCGCCTTTCTGATTTCTAATTTAAAATGTTCCCCCCTCTGTTCTCTAACTGGGTATTTGCCAAACGGTCCAAATGCAAAAAAATAACCTGAAAGTGACTTAATTGGGATTACACACACCGTAACATCCATCTCCTAATGCGATAAACTTGGCAGGACCCTCATGTAAACATTGTCTTGCGATTCAGTAAGGTTTTCCTGGATAAACAATCTCAGTATGCGGTATTCCCTCATTATTCACAAACTTATCCATGATTTTGGCAATCCACAAATCGACACGGCTGCTGCATCGAGAGACAAAAAGTGATGAGAGAATGTGATGAGAGATAAAGGTAAGTTCATTTATAAACGTATTTAATACTTTAATATTCATTTTAATTTATGTTTATCATAACCAAATAAAAAATGTTGGTGTTATTATAATTGTTATGCATTTACTATTTTCTTAAAAAGATATATCCATAAAATGTTCTATTCACGAGCATCTCCGGAACAAAGCAATCGTGAAAAACGAGGGAATAACGTTTGAAATAATTCCACTTCCCGATCTTGCACTAGCTTCATCTTTCCCTTTACCTGTCGCTCTTTCCGTTCAACATCATTCCTCACCGCGACAAGTCGGCACACTGCCACGGTCAGTAAACTTTCCGGATGCATTCTACACACGAGTCCAAACCGTGAACTAGCGATGTTTAAACACCTGGACAGCCGCATCGATGACAACAATGTGTAGGTGAACTTATTTTGCACCGTACGTAGCCAACCGTGCTCATTAGAGGTGCAGGGAAACGACAACAAATGAAACGCAAAAAGCAGTTCTAACTAAATGAGCTTTCAATCTAAATGATGATTTTAAAGTGCATAGCTCCAGTGGCTTCCTAATATCGGAGGAGCATTCCAGACGGTCGCAGAAGCGCATCTGAAAGCACGATGCGGTGACCGACTTTGTTAGATGGCTCGCCAAAATCCGCAGCTGCTGCGAGGATGACCGGAGTCCACATGACGACAGTTTATGCTCTTTGACGAGATCAGCAAGGTATCGCGATTCATTTGTGGCGAGCACTTTGTGTGCGTATTGTCGCTCAAATTAATTTATTTTCACCACAATTGCTGCACAACGCTGTCGTGGCGCCGATAGTTATCTCAAGATTTATTCTCCGATATCATTTGAACGTTTCGACAAACTCTCACCTGCGGTGGAGGGAAGATGTGTGCGGGCGGCGGCGGAGGCGGCGGTATGGGGGCGGGCGTGTAGGTGTAGCCGGGGTTGGGCAACGCCGCCCCCGGGTACATGATGTTGCTGGGGAAGTAACCGAGCATCTGGCCCGGCGGCGGTGGCTGGCCCGTCGCCATGGAGACGGGCGGCGCATACATGTGGGTGGGCGACTGGTGCGGGTGCAACCCTGAAAGCAGCGTGCGCACGGCTGAGCATGGACGACTTCTTTAACACGGCACTCTCTCTCCGTGGCAGAAGGACATTTTGTGGGCGGAGCGATCACCATGGACGCCACCGAAAACCGTGGGGCTCAGAGGGTAATTGTAAGGCATGTAGCGGTTTAACACAGATTCTCAATTAAAATGTCTTACTTATTAATGATCAATAACTATGCTCACAGTACACACATCAAATCGTGATCATTGATTGTTTATCATTTACGCAGATTGGAAATTAACGCTAATATTAAATCCAGGCCAATTAACAATGCAATAAAAAAACAAGAATAAATTCAAAACAGATTGCAATACAAGTAAAACATGTATCTTTCAATGCAATCACAACCTCCAATTATGACAATTCGTGAAAGTTCTGGGGTGAAGTGTTAAATGCCCAGCAACCGCAGAGCCACCAACATGAGACCAAACGCAAGAGGCCCAATCGAGGATCACGATTGGATTTTGCCTCCAGGCTTTTTTTGCGTGGGTTATAAATTGGAGCTCTCAGTACTGTACATCTTTACAAAAGGAGGTTACCCAGAGGTCAAATGAACACAGCCTCCGATGGAAACAATGTTCAGATCACTGGTTCAATCTTCACACTCTCCGGGGCACATTTCATCCCCACCATCTCCCTAAGCACCCAGGTCTAATGAGTGATTATATTATTGTAATGCTCGTCACCAAGGAAAGCAGTGCCGACTCTTTTTGAGGAGGGTCATGCGACATTTTTCACAGTCGGGGGTTAAACGTTGCTGTGTGTAATTGAGTGATTTGAAGTTGATTCTATTACAATTGGGATGGTTTGGATACTATTGGTTACATATCCGGAGGAAGCCCGTACACAGCATAGGAGGGAGAACATACAAGCTAAACGCAAAAAAGATGCCCGAGTCGGGAATTGAGCCAAGGCCCTTCTTGCTTTTGGAGGCGCGTGCGTCACCGCTTCGCCACACCGTGTCACGTGAGTAAGCAGCGCCTTTCCGAGTTGGGAATCGAGTCGGCGTTCAGATAATTATTGGTCCAGATGCAGTTGTAAAAACAACGCTTGTTTTTGTTGTTGTAGTAATATTTGAAACTCTGTGGTTGGCTCACAGGGTCTTTTCCCAAATTCGGGTACCGAGGCACTACCACCGAGGTCGTACGTACGCATCTAGCGTCTTGCGGGAAGAGTGGGTGGCGGGGTTCTAGCACGGTTCTGAAGTGGGTGGGGGGTTCTAGCACGGTTCTAGTGAGTGGGGGGGTTCTAGCACGGTTCTAGTGGGTGGGGGGTTCTAGCACGGTTCTAAAATGGGGGGTTCTAGCACGGTTCTAGTGAGTGGGGGGGTTCTAGCAAGGTTCTAGAGTGGGGGGGTTCTAGCATGGCTCTAGTGGGTGGGGGGTTCTAGCATGGTTCTAGTGGGTGGAGGGGGGGTTCTAGCACGGTTCTAGAGTGGGTGGGGGGGTTCTAGCACGGTTCTAGAGTGGGTGGGGAGGTTCTAGCACGGTTCTAGAGTGGGTGGGGGGGTTCTAGCACGGTTCTAGTGTGGGTGGGGGGGGTTCTAGCACGGCTCTAGTGGGTGGGGGGTTCTAGCATGGTTCTTGTGGGTGGAGGGGGGTTCTAGCACGGTTCTAGAGTGGGTGGGGGGGTTCTAGCACGGTTCTAGAGTGGGTGGAGGGTTCTAGCATGGTTCTAGTGGGTGGAGGGGGGGTTCTAGCACGGTTCTGGAGTAGGTGGGCAGGGGGTTCTAGCACGGTTCTAGAGTGGGGGGCTCTAGCACGGTTCTAGTGAGTGGGGGGGGTTCTAGTACGGTTCTAGTGGGTGGGGGGGTTCTAGCATGGTTCTAGAGTGGGTGGGGGGGTCTAGCACGGTTCTAGGGTGGGGGGTTCTAGCACGGTTCTAGAGTGGGTGGGGGGGTTCTAGCACGGTTCTAGTGGGTGGGGGGGTTCTAGCACGGTTCTAGTGGGTGGAGGGGGGGTTCTAGCACGGTTCTAGAGTGGGTGGGGGGGTTCTAGCACGGTTCTAGTGGGTGGGGTTCTAGCACAGTTCTAGTGGGTGGAGGGGGGGTTCTAGCACGGTTCTAGAGTGGGTGGGGGGGTTCTAGCACGGTTCTAGAGTGGGTGGGGGGGGGGGGGTTCTAGCACGGTTCTAGAGTGGGTGGGGGGGGGTTCTAGCACGGTTCTAGTGGGTGGGGGGGTTCTAGCACGGTTCTAGTGGGTGGGGGTGGTTCTAGCACGGTTCTAGAGTGGGTGGGGGTGGGGTTCTAGCACGGTTCTAGAGTGGGTGGGGGGTTCTAGCACGGTTCTAGTGGGTTGGGGGGTTCTAGCACGGTTCTGGAGTGGGAGGGGAGGTTCTAGCACGGTTCTAGAGTGGGTGGGGGGGTTCTAGCACGGTTCTAGAGTGGGTAGGGGGGTTCTAGCACGGTTCTAGAGTGGGTGGGGGGGGTGGTACTAGCACGGTTCTGGAGTGGGTGGGTGGGGTGGTACTAGCACGGTTCTAGAGTGGGTGGGGGGGTTCTAGCATGGTTCTAGAGTGGGTGGGGGGGGGGGGTTCTAGTGTGGTTCTAGTGGGTGGGGGGGTTCTAGCACGGTACCCAACAGCGATTGGTTAACCGGCTTCCCCCCATCCAGACAGTGTTACACGAATGTACTGCATTTTATTTGTTTTGCTTTTGCAGTGTCGGTGTCCCCACGTCTCTTGAAATGATCACACCTGGGTTCAATTCATAAATGCGAAGGTACATAGACCCCCGGTGATTTATAGAGTTGGCGTCTTAACGATTTCCCTCCACGGCGATTTGAAAAACAGTTGCAATTGAATATAACACGAAGAACGAGACATTGCTGTACCTCATTTGTCTCGCCTAATTTGTATTCTTTGGTTCTTTCGGTAAAGTCACCGAGATAGAAACATAAAGAATAGATCAAGACGTTTCGATCGCGACACAAGCCATCGTCTTCAGGTGAAAAAATACAGCAGGCGGACTGCTGAGGCAGGAAGAAATGTAGCGAGAGCTACTGCAGCCAAAGGTTACACAGTCATACCTCGGTATACGACTGCTTTAGAATACGTCGCATTTGGTACACGTCGTGTTTTGACGGGGATACGACGTCTTGCTTGGGATACGAGGCGCTTGCTAGAACTTGTATGGGTCGGGATGAGTCACCGCGTACCCGCGGGTACCCCGTTCACGACTGAGACAAAGCGCCACTCCTCAGTCTGCCTGTAGATCTCGATCAATGCACAACCCTTGCTATAACTCTGTGAATTTTCAAGTGTTTTGGTCATTTTAACGTGAATTTTCAGCAGGGTAAAGTGATGTTAAATAATATTTGTATTTCAATTTATTTTAATTTATGCATTTATTTTAATGTATGTATGCATTTTAGTAATTAGTAGTGTCTAAATAATGTTATACAACCACATTAATGTATAATGTGCCATATAAAATATAATTTCTTATACTCTGGAACGGATTATTTCCTTTCCCTTTATTTCTTATGGGAAAAAGACGTCACTTCCGGTATAAGTCCTCCTACCTTCTGGAACGAATTACCGATGTATACCGAGGTACCACTGTATATGTTTGAGGTGGGTACAACCCACGAGTAATTGGGCGGGGCTACAGATGGAATTTGCAAGTAAATTTAAGATCGCAGAGCTAGGTATACCTCGGTTAATCCGAGGGGGGGGGGGGGGAGGGGAGGGGCTGCCGTAACGGGCGAGAGGGTGGGGGTGAAATTCCAAGTGGGAATAAGGTGAGAGAGAAAAAGAAAAGAAGCTTAAAATAAAGATTAATTTTTATTGTCTCCATCCTATGTTCCGTCTTGTTTGTTCTGCCTCGTTCACATCATTAAGACTGTAATGTTTATTTTCTTCGCATACTTCTCAACCAATTTGACACAATTGCTGTGAGCGAAATAATGAATAAAAATTCAAGATTTTCTCAGATGCTTATGACCCCCCTTCCATCTTGCATAATATATACATGTTGAACTTCTTTTGCACCATACGTAGCAAGGCGCGCTTAACTTAAAGTCTGGGCATGCATACTCTTTGGTTCTATTCGGTAAAGTCACGTAGGTAAAAATAAAATAACAAAAATCACGACGTTTCGGCCACAACATAGGACAGTCCTGTCCCTTCACCTGATGAAGGCCACTTGTGTTGTGGCCGAAACGTCGTGATTTTTGTTATTTTATTTTTACCTACGTGACTTTACCGAATAGAACCAAAGAGTATGGATCCTTGCAGTCCCGAAAGCTTCAAATCTGGGCATGCAATTAAATGTAGGCGCTATACAATTCCAAGTAACATAAAATTTGCACTGCATCCGCACATGTGTAGTTTATAACAGGCGGAGGGGGAGAGGGTGGAGGGTATGGACCACGGGCTCACCAGGGTGTGGGAGGTTCAGATCGGGCTGCACCATAATTCCCTGGGGAGGGATGGCAGCCGGGCTGTCCCCACCGTGCCCGTACAGCGGAGCCTGGTATGCCGTGTCTGCGCACAGAAAACCGGGCCATCGCGCCGCACGCTTTTTACTTTCCAGCCACGTTCACTCTCGAGTGCTGGTTACGCCGACGCAATATGTGCGCGTTTACGTAACTTTGTTGTGCGTATGTACAATTTCTTTTGCACCGGTGCGTAGCTAACCGTGCTAATCGGAGGTGCGGGGGAAGGACAAACTAAACACAGAAAGCAGTTCTAACGAAATTAGTTTCCAACATAGATGATTTAAAATTGCACACCTAATATCGGAAGAGCATTCTAGATGGCCGCAGAAGCGCATCTGAAAGCGTGCGATGCGGTGACCGTCTTTGTTCGATCGCGAGCCAAAAGCCGCTTCTGCGAGGATGACCGCAGTTTGCGTGATGGTTTATGCGCCTTAATGAGATCAGCAAGTTATCATGGTTCATTTGTGGCAAGCACTTTGTGTGCAATGAGTGCGACCTTATGCCATATTCGTTTGGCAACTGGAAACAAATGCAGCTCAATGAGCTCGACAGCGTTTTTACAAGGCATTAAAGTATCCACACCGCAATATTGAAAGCGTTTCTACAATTGTTTGGTGCGAGGCATCCACAGAGCTTCACATTTGAAATGTAATGACGCATCAATTCCTCCATTAAACATTGCGACTTGTGCTTGCGATAAGTTAATTGAATCTTAAGCACAAGACTTGATTATTATGCAGTGGGCAAAGGGCTCTCGGTGACTCCTGCAAACAACAGAGGCGCTACGTGCAACAATGTAAATTTTTTAAATCTTGAATGGAACCGTAACCCTAAATCATGACAATTCATGGAATTGTGAGGCTGGTTGTTACATAAGTGACAACTTTTAAGACACCGCACTGGAGCTGATATAACCTGCCAGAGCTGGAACATGCAATTGTTTATGTGAATGCAAGGATGATTAAATCATAAATGACAGGGAGGTCAACTGGTGACTCGGGGAAATAATGGTTGCATCATCTCAGGCTATAATGGTGAATTAATTCAATAACTATAACATTGTAGTGGAAGCAGAACCTCTGTGGCCACAGAGGTTCATCATCATGTGCCATGGTCTATCCACTGCTTAATGGAGGCCCCCAATGTCATCACCATCCTTCTCACGGACTTTTGAAGCTGCAATGAGTTTAGGTCCATCGCATGGTCTGATCTCATTGATCCACTTCCATGCCGGTTATTCTCTCAGGGGAGTTCAATCGTTTGGCTTATAGCCACCGCGTGAACCGATTACATACAAGCATTACATATGCACTACATAACGCAAATAGAAAACAGTCAACCCTTGCATGCCCGATGCAGTATGTATCGTAGGCTTTAGAATCAATACTTTTTTTTATATACCAGCGAGGGCCCACTGAGCTATGTAGCTCTTTTTCAGAAGTGACCTGGCCACAAATGATAAATCAACCAAGTGGCTTATCGTGTGGAAATTTATAGCAGCCAAATACTCAAAATGCATGTTTCTAAATGTGGAGGAGACAATCGGAGTACCCGGAGAAAAATTCAAGTGGCCACGGGGAGAGAGAACACGCAAACTCCAAATATACAGGCGTCTGAGTTGGGATCAAACCTACGACCTCCTGTATACCAGGCAAGATAGTTACCATCTTGCCACCGCGGCGCCCCCGGTTATGGGAGCGGGTGTCTGCCATTCTGCTCGAGAAGGATGTGTTCCGAAACTTCAGATTAAACTCAAAGGTCAACAAATCGGACCTAGATATGACATTTTGGGCCATCTGAAAAGAAACATTCGTGACGGTTGAGAGGTTTAACTATACTGTAGTTGATTAATCGATGCATCGTTGCGTGCCCAGTGTGAGCACATCAAGGCAATCCAGACGACAGTTGTCCACAACAACACTGCCTGCACAGAGCATGTCCGTGCGCGTCTGTGCGTACACGTGCGTGCGTGTGTCTGTCTGTATGGGGAACGGCGGTGCAGCGGTTAGCGGGCTGCGCTACGAACCCGGCGACCAAAGTTCGATTGCCATTACCAGCAACGGTTATCTGAACCGGTCATGGGCCTCTCCGAGGTTGACTCAGCCTCAAATGAGTACCTATGTAAACATCCCCACTGGGGAGACAAAGGCGGCCAGGTGTGGTGCTGGACACCCACCACCTCCTGGAACATGCTGGCCTACATAGGTGCTCGCTAACAGCACTTGCCCCAACAGTCTGTTACGGCTACACAGGGGATCTTTGTCTGTATCTACGTGTGTGCGTGCACAGTTGTGTGTATCTATGTGTGTGCGCATGTGTATAACTTATTTTACACCATACGAATCCAAACGTGTGCACGGTTGTGCGTCTCTACGTGCGCGTGTTTGCACGGTTGTATCTACGCATGTGTGCGGATGTATGCGCATGGTTGTGCGTATCTACGTGCGTGTGAGTGCATACGAGTGAGCTCACTTGGATCGTAGTAGGAGCCCTCGATGAGCGGAATGTGCATGGGGGGGGTGGGGTGCGGCTCAGGAACCGGCCGACTGCGCTGAGACGAGTAGCGCTTTGCCCGGCCGGCCTGGCCGCCCTGCCGGGGAGGGGGAAGGAGTGAGCAGCAGCAGCAGCAGCAGCAGCGCGATGACGACATAGCTCAGCATGCGCCCCTCGAGAGAAGAGACCATCTTGCCGCACTCGTGGCTGACGCGACCTCACGGCGATAATGCTTTCCAACGTCCCCCACACCACATTCGCAGCTGTCACGGATGTCATCTAAAGCATTGACACGCAGGCACGGGCAACGACGCACACGCGCGGCCAATGCCTACACGGTTGATTGGTCAGAACTGCTTTGACCTGCGCAGGTGGAGGTCTCACATCACGTGGTTCTCTCATGGTAACAAAATTTATCCTCGAGACTGCTCATACAAGTCATGGGGTATTCGTTTAAGCTTTATTTAGCCAGGCAAGCATGGCATGCGTATTTCATATTTACATTTAAAAAGGATAAATTAAAAAATGAATTTATTTAAGACTTTTTTTGTGGGTTTAACAACACATTTATATTTACGTGATTGGACCCAAAAAAAATACTACCTCTATTATGGATAAAATTTGCTGTGAAAGCCTACTAAATTAATTTCTTTATTTTGACATTCAACTTTTTTATGTTTTACAACTTGCGACTTGGGTCACGGTTTGGATTTGAATGACTTCACATGGTCATGTGGTCGGATAAAGTGTCGAGTTTTTTTAAGCTTTGTGACCATTTCAAGTGAAACGTTACAATTCACGTTTTGTGATTCGTTAAGAATGTTTTTTGATAATTTTTCTATCTACGTGGCTTTACCGAAAGACCCAAACAATATGAATTCCTGCAATCACGAAAGCTTTAAGTCAAGAATAATGTTTTTGTTTAACATTGCGTTCAACGACGCGCCCACTAGTGGCTGCAGGATTCACGCGAACCCATTACAGTTTTGCGAGTATACCAAGTTGGAACACGTGGTGATGGGGAGAAAGCTTGCATGGCTTACCAGATCCTCGATTCGGTTGAACGGTGGAGGCACTGAATTGACAGGGAGATGCGTGGCACCACCTGAGTGAAACACACGCCCATTGTTATACGTACGTCGCGCCATGAAATAACTGCCCAGCTTTCTCTGCTAAGAAAGTTGACTACTCTGAAATTACGCCAAACAATTTTAAACATTTGTGGGGGGATCCCCGTGACTCCTAAAATCACATTAAATCAATAAAAATGTTCTCAGTTTTGCTTTTCGTAATTCACGGGCAAGAGGGGTATGGAGCGAAACCAGCGTAACACGCCTGCGCCGTTTCGACGGCGCGCGGTTGAGCCCGCGGCCGGATCCCCCCACTGACGTTATGCGTCACACTACCTCTGTGCTCGCGCTGCGTGGGAAGGTAGTGCGGCTGTGCCCCGGGGTTCCAGGTCTGGCCGAGGCTGATCTGCGCCATGCCGTGCTCCAGGCGACCCACGGGCGAAGGCTCCAACACGGGCACGTCCCACAACGGCTGCGGCAGCAGCGCGGCGATCGGTCTCGTGCGCTCACCGAGCGGCTTTAGGGGTGGCGCCTGCGGTTGCTGCAGCTGCAGCTGCTGCGGATTGTGCTGGTGCGGTAGCGCGGTGGCCGCCTGCGTCTCGGGCAGCGCAACGAGGGGGACTGTGCTCGGCGCAGGCGCCGCAAGCGGCGCCGGCGAGACGGGGTCCGTCGTGGACGCCTGTCCCGGCAGCTCTGAGGGTTTGTTGCGCAAGCGGCGCACACGCGAGTACGACTTCCGCTCCGGCGCCTTGTCCTGCGCCAGGTCCACCGCGAACGCCGCGTCCCCGGTTGCCGGCGCCACGGTCGCTGCTGCGGCGGCAGCAGCAGGAGCGCCCCTCGCTCCTACCTCCGCCTCCGTGCCCGCGGATAAAATCTCCGCCCGCTTCTCGCCCTCCTCCTCCCCGTTCCCGTTGTGCTGCTGGTGCCGCTGCTGGTGACGCTGCGGGGACGACCGAGCGCCGTCCCGCGCCGCCGGCGTCCCCGGGGGCTGATCCCTGCTGGAGTCTCCTTGCGTGTGGGCGCGGGCGCGCGGTTCCACGTAGGCGCGCTGCTCCACGTAGGCGCGGGGCCTGCCGGGCAGTGCCGCGGGACCGGCGGTGGTTGGGCCCGGCCTCCGCGGCGCAGGCCTCCGCTCCGTGTCCCTGTCCTCGTCGCGCAGACGTGCCGGCCGCTCGACGGGCTCCCGCTTAGGGGCCTGGTAAGGCCCGCGGTTCACGGGGGGACTCTCCCGGCTCCATCGACCGGTGGGGCTGCGGTATCTGCGTGGCACAAACATGCGACAGTCGTCACCATCGCTCGCGGTGGCACGCCCAGTGAGACATTGAGGGGCGCCCTGGCCGTGGCGATCGGAAGTCAGCGCTCCGAACTGCCTCCGCTGAGATCCTGGGTGCGAATGAAGTGTAGAGGGTTGATGGTCTTCGTCCGAACGCATACGACTTCGAAAACCTCGTCGCATCAAATTTTGCAAGATGGCGTCGTGCCCGAGGGGGTCGTGCCCGAGGGGGTCGTGCCCGAGGGGGTCGTGCCCGAGGGGGTCGTGCCCGAGGGGGTCGTACCTGGGCCGGCGGAGAGGCCGGGCGTCATCGGCGTGAGCGCCCGAGCGGATGTCGTAGCCGTACAGCGCCACGAGCTCCTCGCGCGACTTGGGTGCCTGCTCGTCCTCGCGGAAGCGATCGTGCTCCCAGCGGCCCGCGTCTCGCCACAGCTTGCGGTTGTGCACCTTGGCCCTGCGCCGCCGCCGCCGACGTCAGATAAGAGATAAGAGCACGGCAACGGGGGACTCACGTTTTGAGACGGGAAGGGCACGTAAGGTTCCCCGGTGTGGCTCGGGGGGGGCCCCACTAAATCACCACACGGCACTCACCTGGCATCCTCCTTGTTGTTGCCTCCTCGAATGTCGTGTTCGAAGAAGAGCCCTTTCCGCGGCACGAACGCCGGGTTTTTTTGGTCTTCCTCCTCCTCGTCCCGCTTGGAATTCTTGCCGCCTGCGCCGGTGGGCGGGGCGTCATCCTCCTGTAATGGACACCGCGGGCGAGGGAGGAGCATTAAACGAGCAGCATCCACCACTTCTGGCGCTGAGAGGGTTTTAACACAGTGCCGGACAAGGCCCCAGAGACTTAAAGCTTTCGTGACTGCAGGAATTAATATTCTTTGGGTCTTTCGGTAAAGTCACGTAGGATAGGTTCAAAGAAAATGACAAAAAACTACGACGTTTCGATCGCAAGACAAGCGGTCGTCATCAGGAAAAGTGGGTTAGCTTCTAAAGGAAAAGTGTTTATAAACGTTTGAAATAGGCGTCGCCCAAATGTCAGCAGCATGGGCGGGGCAGCTGATGTTAATGTGAGTGGTGGGCGGCTACCGTGACGGTGGTGCGTTTCCCACCAATTGAAGGACTGCCAGGTAAAAATTAGCATGTTAATGTAAGATCGGTGAGCGGCCTCCACGGCGAGCGTGCTGAGGTGGCTATGTTAATGTGAGAGATTAGCATGTTAATGTGAGATCGGTGAGCGGCCTCCACGGCGAGCGCGCTGAGGTGGCTATGTTAACGTGAGAGATTAGCATGTTGATGTGAGATCGGTGAGCAGCCTCCACGGCAAGCGCGCTGAAGTGGCTATGTTAATGTCAGAGATTAGCATGTTAATGGCAGATCACAAAGCCGCAACCTCTAGGTCGGTGCGCGAAGGCGGCTGTGTAAGTTTGAGAAATTTAACCCGTTAATGTAAAATCGGAGCCGAAAATAACAACTAACATCGCAAGGTGGTAGGGTGGGAACATCACAGCCAGTTATGACTTAAACTGGTTGATAACGTCCTTCCAATGATTGCTCAATGTATACCCATCTTCTCTATTGTGTCTGTATATGTGGATAGCTTAATGAACGAATCTTTTTGATAGCCAGTGGGCTTACAAAGTACCTTCGTCTTAGAGAAATCAATTTTACGTGAGCCCACCGCATTAAAACAATGATCAGCCACGGCCGAGGTATTGGTTCTACCGTGTTTCAGATCTGCCTTATGTTCATGAACACGGTCCGAGACATGTCGCTTAGTTTCCCCAATGTAACTACTGCCGCAGACACAGCTTAGTTTGTAGACGCCGCAGATACAGATTAGTTTGTAGACGCCGGGGTATTGCATTTCAGGGATCACAGCCTTTACAGATGGGATCAGATCAGAAATATTATGTACTGTGTTAAATCGAACCTGAATCTTGTGTTTGCTCATGATTTTGGAAATATTTTTGGTGACCCCTGCTATGTATGGCAAGGTGGTGGTTTTGATTGGGTCCTCAGATGGTTCTTTCCAAACAGTTGGGGTGATAGCTTTACGCATTGTGTAGTCTTGAATATACATTAATCTTGAGAGATTGGTGTATGTGTTCCAGTTCACTGGCTCGGCGATGATGGTAGGAAATACATCGAGCTCAATGGTGGAGAGTTTTGATGACGGAATTCTTCTGGGATGGATGGTGGTGGGAGTCAGGTTTTAGACAGGCATCCGTATGGGTGGCTTTCCTGCAGAGAGTGTCCCATTGAGCCATCTGGTCTCTCTTTCAAATTCACCATGGAGGTGGAAAAGAATAGCAAGCTAACATTCTTATGTTTTAATTGAAAAGAGACCAGATGGCTCAATGGGACACTCTTGCCTTTAGAAGCTAACCCCCTTTTCCTGATGACGACCGCTTGTCTTGTGATCGAAACGTCGTAGTTTTTTGTTATTTTCTTTGAACCTATCTACGTGACTTTACCGAAAGACCCAAAGAATATAAAGGCCCCAGAGCACAATGTCACGGCGAGCTGTGGTTGGGGGCGTTTCTCAAAAAATCGAGCCGTTACCCGACAAAAGCGAGCCGTTACCCGAGGAATTAATAATCGCGCCTGTAGGCAGCACCACGGCCCGAACCAACGAGGAAGGTTGGTTTGGGCCATGTGCACACGGCAGACAAAGGTATGCAGAAAAAAAGAGGACTCCTGACAGCACGAGGCCGATTCAAAGCGGCCTCCCTCGGTGCCAGCTTGGCTAATGCTGCAGGTTAAGATCGTACACTTCACTCACAAATGGAAATGGCTTTTTTGCTTCTGCACAAATATATATTATGGTCACGAACGTGTATGCACGGTCTTTGGATGTTCACAACTAGAACGTTGTCAATCTTCAAGTGTCGCATGAGCTTCTGAAATCCTCTCTTCCAGACATTTCTAAACTGTGGTCCTGATGCTATGTTATAATCTCATAATTTATCACATTCAGCAATGTCACAATGACATTGCAAAATTAATTCACACTGCAGCTTAACAGACCGGTGGCTCATTGGCTAAAACATCTTAAGAGTAATATTTTTCTCTTAAACCGCTTCAGGACACAAAAACAAAAAGAGAGTTTATGGAAATCGATTTATACGACCAGCACGTATTACGGGCTCTTTAGAAAGTGACTGACAGAACGGACCCTTCTCAAAATACAAAAAACTGTTTATTTCTCGACTTTTTGACCGGTTCCTTGTTCCTGTAACATGTAAAGCAAAGTATCAATACTTGCTGCTTGTATCGCGACCTACGCACCTACGATTGTAACAAAGATCTGTACTGTACGATGACATAAAAGCGTTACAGCTTATTGGGCCCCCTCCTGACGAAATATGTTTTCCGATTTTAATTCATAGAGCGCCTTAACATATATTTACTAATTTGTTCAGGAAAATGGTGTGGCGAGATGAGATTAGAAGGATGGTAGTGCACGATGAATATGATTGATGATGCGGGAAATAAACGATGAGAGCGACAGTAAGTGGTAGATGATGATGAGCGAGTGCGATGAGTGGGTAGAGACGTTGGGAAGAGTGACAGAGTTAGTGATGGGGAAGGGAGAGGATATGGAAGTTGGGGTAAGTGAGGGCTAACAAGTGAATGTTTTAAGGGAATAACGATGAATAGTGAACGAGGCTTATTGCTTGACATAGGAGCAGATTGTGCCAGAATAAGGGGGCCAGAAGCAAGAAGGAACGTAATGGCGATTGGGCACAGGGAGGAGTGGAACAGAGACAGCTGGGATTGTGAACGGAGAGGGTGAGAAGGAACGGAATGAGGGAAGCGAGATACGTTGTACGTATGTTGAACTTCTCTCGCACTGTACGTAGCCAACCGTGCTAATTGGGAGCTGCGGAGGAGGAATGAACTAAACACAAAAAAGGAGTTCCGAAGATTTAAAAGTGCATAGCTGCAGCGAGCTTCCTAATATCGTGATATCTCTCTGTGGCAAGACCACGGAGAGATTTGTAAAAATAAAACCTATCTGTCGGTGGAGACAAGAGGAGCCCCTGGTGAGGGGGGTTGGGGGGGGGGGGGCGACGACATGACGCTGCTTACCGGGGCCTCCTGCGAGCCGTGCGAAGGTTTGCGCACTCGGTGCGGCCGCTCCGGCCGCTTGTCCGCGGGGGTGCTCGCTATCTTCTCTCCGGCGACGACGCCAGTGATAGCGGGGGGCACAGAGGAGCCCTCTTCAGCTACTTCGTCGTCTGTAACGGAGCACGAGCCCTCCTCCTCTTCTTTTTCATCCTGTAGCACAGACCATGGCCACCACCAGTCATCGCCGTTACCAACATTTCTGGCAGCTGAGGGGGAAGGGGGGATATGTTATGTGCCGTGCCGCGTTTTCTCCCAAATCAAATGTTAACCTTTAACAGAGTTTAAAGTAGCTTCCAAATTACATGGGCGCAACGGTGGAAAGATGTTAACAACCTCGCTTGTTATGCATGAGGTTCGTGGGTTTGATCCCGACCCTGACGCCTGTATATTGAGTTTGCGTGTCTTTCTCTTCCCATGGTCGTGTGGATTTTTCTCCGGATCCTCCGGTTTTTACCTCCACATTTAGAATCAACATGCGTTTAGAGTAATTGGCTGCTATAAGTTTCCACATAAGCCACATTGTTGAGCTATCAATTGTGATAGCCAGATCGCTGGTAAAATATTGTTTTCACTTTGTTTGGATTTGAGAATATTCCTGGGAGTCTTGTACCGTTCGTGCCAGTGGGTGACGTTATAACCCATGTCCGGTTGCACGTGAAGAGATAAATGACACGAATTACTATTCTTTTTGTCATTCAGGAAAGTGAAGGTGTCCCCGCTCAGAGAGAATGGCGAGTTGCTTTTCATTGTAACTCGTTCAAAACAGACCGAGACCCAGTCTGTTCCTAAGCGACATTACCCTTACAGATGACGGCACTACATTATTGAGGGCTACCACGGAGAAGTACCTTTGTGGGCTTAATGGCGTGAAAGGGTGTTTTATTCATAGTTTCCCAAGAGTCAAAGTGCATCACTGAAACGCTTTGCTCGAGTCTCACCTCTGAGTAGTGCGAGTAGTTGTCATCTGCGCTCTCGTACCCAGAAAGCACTACACCTAGAAAAACACAACACGTGATCAGCTCCACAACAAAAGGGGTGGTACCAACAGAGACATTTAAGCAGAACGCCACTTGCCCTAAAGCAAAGATGATGTCTACGCGGACCTAATCCTGTGGTGATTTAGAGACACTATACAGCAACATGCTACGACGTCTAATTAACAACCCCGCCATCTGCTTCGGCCAGTCAGCCTCCATTGGACCACAGCAGGTGCTGCAAAGCGAAGGCCATTTCAACCAATCGCTTTCTCCCGTGGGATTTCCAGGTCAAACTGGCCAGCTATGCAAGAACAGCTGAGAGAAGAGGAAAAAAACGTACATGTAGTTTATTTGGCCACTCGACACCATTCCCCCTTGCAGCCCGTGGATATTTATGGTAGCTTAAGTGACAACAGGTTATGTCAAAATTTTTAAAATTCACCCCTAGTGGACCTATCGCAAGACGCAATACGAACCCGACAAAGGGAATTTCACGGACTAGAAATGTTAAGAGGCAAAACGTACACTGGCGGATTGCAGTCTGGCTCTAATTGTGGTTCAATTGAATAGGCTAACAAATATTCACTGCCTATGACCAAAACCGATTTGTAGTGCTGCATGCTATTACAATGCCCTTAACTTAAGTTAAATAATTAGTGTCATTGTGGATAATATAAATAACAGCACTGATACAATAACTACTTATTTATCCAGGAGAACCACACCGAGTCGTACGACTCTTTTTCAGGAGGGTTGTTACTTTAAAGATGTTTTCAGCCAAGCAATGATGAGTTGTGTTTATCCAAGTGGGAGGGAACCAGAGCACCAGGAGAAAACACACATACGCGCGAGGGGGCAACGCTCTATCCCCGTACAGACAGAAACGGACGGCGATTAGTTCACTTGCTGTACTGCCTTCGACTGGCGTGCCAGGGTATACCTCCTTGAAAAGTTAACCTCAGGTGTTAATTTCCCTCACCTTATGAAAAAAAAGATTGACATTGACAAGACTGCCTCTTTGTATATCCACTGTGCCTATCATTGCAATGACAATTTATTTATTTATTTAAGAAGATATCTTGGTTACATTTTTTATCATACAAAAAAACATAGTAATTTTTTGTATGGGCCCTTCAGTTTTCATAGGCCCCAGGCACAGTAGGCACTGTTCCTAGGGCCTACGAAAACTAAAGGGCCTATAAAAGGCACTGTGCCTATTGGATAATACGGCCCTGCTCCTCAACCCTCACAGCTGCCTCCACAGGGCAGGACTACAGGCCACGTGCAGTGTAACCACAATACATCTCACACAATAAACCTCCTCCATCTGTATTTCCCCAAAAGCAAAAGTATATTTTTACACAACTCATCGGGCCCCCATCGCCTTCTGGGAGTGCATAAATTCAGCAGCATTGAGAATGAGTTCAAGCAAACCCTAGACTGGTTTTGACATTAAGTTTATCATCAGCATAATCAGTCTTGCTTGCTTGAATGGATTCCGGTGGTATGCCAGACCCAAACTTTAAAGGCTATTTAATAAAGCTAATACAACATATGCAAAGTTTGAGCAACTATTATGGTGGCAAATGTAAATATGAATCTCATCTTTTTTCAGGTCTCTGCACAAAGAAAGATCCCATGGCTCCAGTTTCCTCCATTCCATCTCATCCAGCTCCCCAAATCTTTCCCGCACAGCACCACACTCCACGCTGTGGCTCTTGTTAGAGCCATTCATGAGTTACAACAAAAAACAACTCACCATCTCTCTCAGGGACACCTTCACTCTCCTAAGAGGTAACACAAACAGCAGCAATTAGTGACATTTATGTCTCTTCATATGAAAATGGACATGAGCTCTGTCATACACTGCCACAAATTGTATGATGTGATTGGTTATCTTAATAAAAAAAAAGTTTCATTACTGATGAACAGTTAAAAGATATAAAATGCAGGTTCAACTGCTTGTACTTGTCAGCAAGGCAATGGTGTTTAGTAATGGCATGAGTGTATATATAGAGAGACATCAATCGATATGAATTAAGCGCACAATACATGCGTCAAATCACGTGTGCAGCTCACGCTTTAATTTGTATGTGTGCATGCATTTGTTGAACTTCTTTTGCACCGTATCGTTTGCATGCAACGGTTTCACATGACACCTTCAGGGGAGGTCGAACCGTGACCGTGCATCGCGACATTTGAATCAAACGTGGGGGGCGAGGGTGTGAATTATGAAACCCCTCAGTGCATTTAGCACAAACGGAAAGTTCAATAAACGATGACAGTTGTAATTTATTATCCACGTAATTGCAGAGCTCGTATTGCAAAAAATATTTATATATATAGAACATTTATATACTCCACAATGCAATTAACAATGGGGTTAACCTTGCAGCTATAGAGTTGTAATATTAGTTACAGCTAAAGAGTTGTAATATTAATTATGGATTAAATGCAGGGTGCATATCAGATTTTTACTATGCGCTTCCAGTAGGTACTGACAATTTAAACTGATTTGAAGCTGAACATGATTCAAGTTGGCCAGACTAACAAGCAGTCAAACGTGGGTGAAGATGGGTCCCTGCGTAATCACTCAGTTCCTTCATGCATCTCTCACTTCATAAATTAGAATGAATGGAATGTAGGAAGTCCTTTGCAAATGTATTTGAAACAAATATCATCACAAGGGAAAACATCAGTGTATAAAACGTTGATATCTATGGGATTTTTGTTTGGATCTTTTGCCACATGTATGGCTAATGCAGACTTGATGCCTTAAAATAGGTATCTATTTGGTATTTGAACATCTAAATGCCTCCTGTTTTATTGCCAGAAAGGGTAAAGTCTATTCTTATTTTTTCATCAAATCGTCAATAAATAAGAGGGCTTAAACTCAAAACATGTTTATTTATTTTACCAGGTAAGGCCCACTGAGCTTTATAGCTCTCTCCACACTTAGAAACATGTGTTCATGGAAGGAAAAACCGGAGGACCCGGAGAAAAATCCAAGTGACCAAGGGGAATACAAGCAAACTCCAAATATACAGGCTTCAGGGTCGGGATCGAACCCACAACCTCTTGCATACCAGGCGAGGTATTTAACATCTCGCTCCACCGTACATACAGGAGATGATTCAGCCACCGATCATGCCTTACTCAGCATACCGCACGCCAAGCTTCGACCCTCGGGTGTCCGCATGGCACTCAAACTCTTGAAAATACACTGCCTTTGGGAGGTCAGGAACTCGCAGTTGATGGAGACTTCTAAGTTTCCCGCTGAAGACCCCACCACCTGTTTAACAAGGCCTCTCTCTCCAGCTCTCTATCTTGTCTCCTTAGTCTTACCTCTCTCGAGATACATTGTTTACTCCTTCTAAATTTACATTCTGTTTATTACAAAACAACTGTCTTATGATTGTACCACTTCAGTTCCTCAAGCTACCAGCACATTAAGAGAAATGTCGGACATCACGCGAAGAAACACACACGGTGCGACTCAAAAACACAACAGATGGCTATATAGCACTATCTTGAAAAGCACTCTCTAATTTATCCAATGGACTTCATGGTTATTCAATTTACAAATGACAACTGGCCGGTGAAAAAACCACGGAAAGTCCCTGGACATGAATGCTGCAAATGACGCATATCAAGGTCTTACAATTCAATAAAACGTAATCTCAAAGTCAAAATGTAGCAGGTATTAAGGGAGAGTGTGGGAGTTTCAGAAGCAACAGCAGCTAATAATCAGAAACGTCTAGAAGGAAGAAAGTCCAAAAACATATGGCTTGTGACATCACCAGCCAACAACAAACAAGCAGAGGCATGGGCCTGCTTCCTCCCTATGTTTTTATTTTCTAGAAGGTTCTGGTCAGCTGTGCTGGGTTTTGTTCAGTGCAGTGACAGCCAAGTCGTTCAGCGATACATTTACATTCATAGACGGTTCAGGAAGTGTTGATATATGTGGGCACGAATGATTGTGAATGTGGTAACTGAACAATAAAAATGTAAAAGGCTTTGGGGTCATTGATGGATGACATCAGACAACATAAAATGTAAACGCTGTAGAAAATGCAAAAAACATCCTCAACATGACACAACGGGGAATCGGTCACTATTTTCAGAAGACGGTATTTTTGGCCACATGCAAGATGCAAAAACCAACGTCTCATTTCCATAAGAATGTGGTGACCACGTGAACGGACTATTTTCATTATCATCTTTATTCTTTATTTCTGTTAGGTATTGTTTAACCCATAATAGAGATTTTTTGGGTTATATCGTGTGAATATAAATGTGCCATTAAACCCGCCACCACCCGATACAGCCAATTAGTAAGATTTGTCACGTAAACAAAACGTGCCAATTCGTTACTAGTTCAGCACACCGGTGTGCTTGACAGTAAACGCACAACATTTACAATTCGAGTACCGTGACGTTTCACCGGTAATTACAACCAGTCGCATCAGGCGACAGCCGCAGTTGTGGAGAAACCCTAACTGTTTCAGTCTTAAAGTATTGCTAAAGTCTGCTGTGAAGTAGACAACCATTGTGTACCAGTTTCACAGGTCACGAATCCTAAAAAAAAGACTCAGGGAAGCTGGAACGTTGACTGTACACAAAGCATAATGGACATTCGGTCCGAACTTGACCAGTGCCACTCGCAGACCTCCCTTGCAAATACAGACAATGCCAATGGACCCTCTCTCATGTTTAAAAAAAAAAATCTCAATGAGCTTACAATCTCAATGGCCTCTCGCGCGCTTAAATAATCAACACGAGGGGGGGGGGGGCGGGAGTTTCGCTCGGTTAAATCGACTCAATGAGCTTGGTTAAGCAATCACAATGGGCTCTCTCAGCTGGGCGAATGGTGTTTAAACTATCAGTAACTTTCCGCAATGAAAGGCCAATGGCTTAAACTGCAGCCTATTACTGCACACGATTCTGTTACAGGGCTAACGCAGAGCCATTACAAGAGCTGTTCGTGCACCGCTGCAAACAAAGTGTATGTGGAGTTGCAACTCTGGGATAGTAAACGTTTCACCGACTCGCCAATGCAAGTTAAAGCAATGCGGTCTTGATAACGGCGTGAACTGGAGTTTGTGTGTCTTTCCCCGTGATCGCGTGCGTTCTTCTCCGGGTCATCCAGTGTTTCCCTCGAAAATTTCAAACACGCGTTTGGTGAATTTGGCTGCTATACATTTCCACGTGATTATATTATAAGCCACTTCGCTGGGCTATCATTTGTGATGGCCAGGTCACTTCTGAAAAAGAGCTAGATCGCTCTGTGGGCCTTACTGTACCTGGTACATTTTCAATAGTTTGGTTTTAGTTCATTGTTTTACAAAAATATTGAATTGTGGTTTTCACTGTCAGTGCAGCATTGGTCGTACATCATTAGCATGAATGTGTCCTATAGTATGAATGGGTTGTAGTAATTACAATATTACTACTAATGACAATATTTATACTACTGTACTGGCATTCATACTGTGTTAGAATGGTCTCAGTGCGAGTGTAGTTGTAGTATTACAGTGTTAGAATGGTCTCAGTGTGAGTATAGTTGTAGTATTACAGTGTTAGAATGGTCTCAGTGTGAGTATAGTTGTAGTATTACAGTGTTAGAATGGTCTTAGTGCCAGTATAGTTTTAGTATTACAGTGTTAGAATGGTCTGTGTGAGTGTAGTTGTAGTATTACAGTGTTAGAATGGTCTCAGTGCGAGTACAGTTGTATTACAGTGTTAGAATGGTCTTAGTGCCAGTATAGTTGTAGTATTAGTGTTAGAATGGTCTCAGTGCGAGTGTAGTTGTAGTATTAGTGTTAGAATGGTCTTAGTGCGAGTATAGTTGTAGTATTAGTGTTAGAATGGTCTCAGTGCGAGTGTAGTTGTAGTATTAGTGTTAGAATGGTCTCAGTGCGAGTACAGTTGTTTCACAGTGTTAGAATGGTCTTAGTGCCAGTATAGTTGTAGTATTAGTGTTAGAATGGTCTCAGTGCGAGTGTAGTTGTAGTATTACAGTGTTAGAATGGTCTCAGTGTGAGTGTAGTAGTATTAGAATGGTCTCAGTGCGAGTACAGTTGTAGTATTACAGTGTTAGAATGGTCTCGATGCGAGTACAGTATCAATAATGCAGTCTCTCTGAGAGTACACTAGTAAGTACTACTAACACTATCAAGGTGAGTGCGTCAGTAAGAGCTCTAGTAATCATTAAGGGCGCGCTAAGGTAATCGAACGATGGCAGTCGCAAGTTACAGAATTTAGCGGCAATAAGCGGCAGCGAGGCGCTGGGGAGGCCGCAGGCGTCTCTCGCGCCGAGCCCCGCGCGCCTCCCGACCCACCCCCCCCCGAGCCGCCCTTACGCATTCGGACTCCGCGGCCCTCGCGGGGATGGCGGCCGCCTTCTCGGGCCCGCGTCCCGGGGAGAGGTCGCTCTCCTCCTCCTCGTCCTCCTCCTCCTCGTCGCTGTCCTGAGAGGCGCCAGTCCGCCGCCGCCTGTCCGCCATCACGCCTTGGTATGGTGTTACGTCATGTCGCCGCCGAGCGTGGCGTCATCGGCATGTAAAGGAAAGGGGGTTAACGAGGAGTTGACGTCACCAAGCAAGACGGATGACGCTAAGTACGCGGGTTAGACGTCGATCGGGGAGCGTGACGCCATCCGAATTGGAATGTGCGCGGCGGTTCTGGAAGATCAGAATCAGAATGTCCGCACGTTTGTATGTAGGTTGAACTGAGCACAAAAAGCGGTTCTAATGAAGCGAGTTTGTTAATCTCGATGATGATTTACAGAGTGCATCTATAGCTCCAGCGGCTTCGCAATCTCGCAAGAGCGTTGTCCAGACGGCCACAGAAGCGCATCTGAATGCGCGCGATGCCAGTGACCGTCTTTCTTCGATGGCCGGACAAAGGCCGCCGATGCCGCTGCTGCTGCTGCGAGCAATCCGATGAGCTATAAAGCTCTTTGGGGCCGTCCATAAAGGACGTCACGCACCTGGGGGGGGGGGGGTCAGACATTTGTGACGATGTGTGACGACGTGGGGGGTTTGAGAAATGTGACGTCACATAAAAATACGCAACTAAAAAATGAATATAGACAACACGTTCTACTTAATTAAATAGACTTTTTAATAAATGTTTTCTCCTACAACATCAGAGTGCAGCGCCACATTAAATACGCACTACAATGACAATAGTTTAAAGCGATTTGAAGCATGTTTTATTTTTTGGGGGGAAGGGGGCAGAGCTTTGTGACGTCATATTTGAGGGGGGGTCTGACTTTTTGTGACGCCGTGTGACGAAGGGGGGGGGGGGGTCAAAAATCGTCCAAAATCGCGTGACGTCATTTATATTTACACGATGTCCAGTAGGTTGCGGGTCAGAACGTTGCAACAATACAACACGATAGCAGTGCAAAGTATTGGTAAGGTAAACAAATAACTTCGTAAAAAATACAGGCAAAACTAAACTATGTTTTATTCGTCCACGTAGGGTCCACAGAGCCATGTAGTTATTTATCAGAAGCGACCCGGCTATCACGAACGATGGCTCAACGAAGTGGGCTCAACACGTGGGCATTTATAGCAGCCAGATACTCTCGAAACGCGTGACGTTTAATCTACATGTGGAGGGGAAAAACCGGAGGACACCCGAGAAAAATCCACACGGCCACAGGGAAGAGAGACACGCACATTCCAAATATACAGCAGGCGATACATTTATTAATCTTTGGTTCTTTCGGTAAAGTCACGTAGTTAGAAATAAATTAAAATAAATCAAATCACGACGTTTCGATTGCAACACAAGCAATCATCATCAGGTGGGAAAACCACAGCGAGAAAAACCTTTTTTTACCGAAAGCTTCAAATCAAGGCGATACAATATTCTCAAAACCAGGCCTATGTTGGCTCGGCTTCAGAAATCGTGCGTATTTTAACGGTAATTTATCCATTTGCGTAGAAATGTAGTGGCAGTATTTGAGTGTGGGGTATGAACGGTGGAAGTGATGCGACAGTGACGGCATCGTTGCCCCGTAGCAATCGAGACGCTGCCGGTGGTGCACACGCATGGATTAACAAACACAAACACTCAACACGTGCGTCTGTAATAACCCCGTGTCTGTGGCCTTAACATAAACGGTGTACAATTGGTTGACGTTTCGGGCAATGGACCTGCTTCACAACACTACCTCCCTGGCCTTGCTACGTGCCGAAACGTCGCCTGTTATACACTTTTGAGGGATTTTTTTTTTGTGTCCACTACATTGCAGCGAAATCGGGGTTAGCAACGTCATTACCGCTCACCGCGATGACGCGCTCGTGACGCTTCAGAGCCGAACGGTTATGACGTCAATTTATCGCGCGTTTTAGTGACGTAACGGAGATCGATAGAAAAAAATAATGACAATTAAATAATAAAAATGAAAGTAAAGTTAATAAAAAAAATCACGACGTTTCGATCGCAACACAAGCAATCGTCATCGAAACGTCGTGATTTTTTTTATTAACTTTATTTTTTTATTGTGATTTTTTTTCTATCTACGTGACTTTACCGAAAGAACCATAGAATATGAATTCCTGCAGTCACGAAAGTTTAAAGTCAAAATTAAACATACCTGTCAACCCAAACAGCGTACAGCTGCGTTTCAATATGGGAAAAAAACTAATGTATTTCACTGTTTGTATTTCTCCCTTGTGATGGGACTTTGTCGGATGAACGTTGAGATTTATAAGGGCACTGGGTGACCAATAAGGTCCGAATTGGTCTGCAATAAGGTAGGCAATGATACGGGGTTGACAGGTATGGTAAAATTACAATTAAAACTTCTCGCGTATTGAAATTGATGTGTTCAACTTAGTATACCTGTAATCGGTTCGCGTGAATCTTGCAGCCACTACATATTTTTGTTTAAATACAGTACAGTGATTTACTTTCCTTGCCTATACTTTGTACTCCGATCTGGTTTTTTATTGTCTTGTAACTTTCTGACCCACCCCTACTGGACATCTGTGAAAATGAGCTTCATAGCTCATCGGCTTTCTCCAGGATAAATATGGTAATTCTGACATTTACCGCAATAATAGTATGTATAATTCTGACAGAGAATCAAAACCCGTGAATCTTAACATTTCACTGAATCGCCGGGTTAATCAATGAACCTCTACAACGAGCCCAGGTCATCAGGCTTGAAAGAAAGGAAACCCCCAACATTGTACACCGGCACAACCCATCCCACATTCATTCACTGCATGCGGCCAAACCATCACCAGCCGTGGTCTATCCACTGCTTGATGGAAACGGCTCTCACAAAAGCCATCTGCCACCTCTGGCGGTCTTGCGACGTAACGATAAAATTTGGCTCCCGCGTGCGAGCCGATGTCCGTCACTCCATCTCCGTGGCGGGAGCCCTCCACTCCCTCGGCTGCCATTCCGTGGTTCGTCTGCACATGCGACCGCCGTCCCTTCCAGCCATGACGGGTCCTGTCCAAGGCCATGTTCTCCATCGCATCGCATTTAATAGCAATCATCCTAGAGACCGTTTTATCTAAAGTGCCACTTAATATTATAAAAAAAATACTTTGATTTATGTGTTCAGCACGCTTAATCGTAGGGTCCTGCATTGGGTTTTTATTTGTAACATGTTTTAAGCTAACGAATGATGACTTGCGTTTATTATACAAGTGGGAGAAAACCGGAGCACCCGGAGAAAATTTACGTGCGCACTGTACTATCCCAGTACAGATGGAAACAGATGGAGAATGAACACTTGGTAGTAGGCTTTCGCAACCAATATTATCCATGAGGTTTTTTGGGTTAGATCGCGTAAATATAAATGTGTCTTTGCACCCGCCACCACCCGACACAAACAATAAGTAAAGTTTGTCATGTTAACAAAATATTCCAATTATTAGTTCAGCATTAACCGGTGTGTTGGAGAGTAAATCCACAACATTTACAATTCGAGTACATGTAAACGAATCGCCATGTTTTGTTTACGTCACAAACATTACTAATTGGTCGTGGGGTGGTGGTGGGTTTAACGACAAATGAATATTGATGCGATCTAACCCCAATTTTTTTTATGTATTTATTTATTAAAGATGCCGATTAGTCCTCTTGTTCTGCTGCCTACCGCTGCCCGGCCAGGGTGAGGCACCTCGACGCCCGCGGTGAAGGGAGTCTTGCAACATCTGTGTGTGCGGTGATCCACCAACCCCCCGTGACTACCTCTGCAGTGCTGCGTTATAGGGCAGCCAAGTACAGCAGCGGGAGCCACCGCCACCACCACCCGGCTTTACAATCACCGTCTGGAAACAATGGAAAAAATAATGACAGAAAAACCCACAGTGGGATTCTAGAGATGTACAAGTTTATTGAAACTTCTTCCACCGTCATGCTGGGATCGCGATGTCCACCACACGCGACGGGCGATGCGTGAGGATAACGCACGGACAACGCGTGGACTACTTGCGGCTGCCGCAGAGGCGCATGTGCTGAGAACCGTCGATCACCGCAGCCGGTTAAAAAAACAAAAACCATCGCGACACCGATCCGCTGCCTTAAAAAAACCCACTCCACGTTTTGTAAAATAAAAAAAACACACCGCTGGTTCACATCTATAAAACAAACACTGATAGGCGTGCGTACTTTGGTGGACCGCTCTCAAAGACAACTCAAGGGTGACGGTCACCAACGCTAAACCATTGCCGCTGGGTAATCCCAAAACTGTTTTTTTTTCTTTTACAGTCGCGACAGAAAATACCTTCAGATTTGCGTGCAACGATTGCACCAAGACAGGGCAAAAGGGACCCGACTTGCAATCGGATTTCAGTTCAAAGGCTCGTCGATAACGCTCCCAACCGACGTTACTGACCCGTCGCGATAGTCTATACCATGTATACATCACAACGCGACAAGCGCGGAATGTAAAATGCCAAATGCCACTGCCATAGCGAAGACAACCTGCCACGTTCACACCTGCCGCTGGCTCGGAGCAACCTTTAACGACTCTCCGAACACAAGGCGTCTCGGAAAGTGCTCGGCAATACAATTATGCAAGGCCAAGACATCGATATGCAATACTGTCATTTAAACCGGATTTAAAACAGCCATTCGAGATGTTTTATTGCTCAAGTAATTCCTGTTCATCATTCGTCAATGCCACAAGCATTAGTTATTCACATGCACTGTGTCATCCTCAGTCACCTTGTGCAACTTGACACGATGGCATTATCGTCAATGGAAATTTTCTGTGCACCGCCGAACGCTCCGTATTCCTTTAAGGAAAATAGAACAAAAACCGCGTGTTCGGTTAAAGTCCAAATACTACACGCCGAACCACAGCCATAAACACAGAACAAATACCGACATTAATTCTGTTTAGTGCACGAATACTCAACCAAAATAGCCAGTCACTTTGCGCCCCTGCCAAAGCCAGCTAGCCTGAGCAATGTTGGGTTCGTTTAGCTGCCGGGACAAAGCCTCACGCAGTCCGATGAGTTGCAAAGGGCTGCAAAACAACTTCCTTTCAGACGATCACATCACTCGCGCATGCAACGTTTGCCGAAGCCAAATAAGTTCCCGTAGAGACGTGCCACTCTTTAACAGAGAGACATTTCACCGTGACAAATATTCACGGCAAAAACGCGGCAGCACGTTGGGTGGTCATGAGTCAATGAACATCCAAGTACAGAGCGGTGTGGACTTCTCTGAGAAGCGGCATATTGTGCCCCATCGTCCCATACGCAGCACTTCCACCGTTCATACCCTACACTCATATACTGTCACTACATTTCTACGCAAATGGATAAATTACCATTACAATACGCACGATTTCTGAAGCCGAGCCAAGAGAGGCCTGGTTATCAAAATCTTTATATTGATCCGAAGGGGTGCAACGGTGGCGAGATGTTAACTACCTCACTTCCTATACAGGTCGTGGGTTTGATTCCAACCCTGACGCCTGTTGTATATATGGAATTTGCGTGTCTCTCTCCCTGTGGCTGTGTGGATTTTTCTCCGGGTCCTCCGGTTTTTCCCTCAACATTTCGAATCAACATGCGTTTAGAATATTTGGCTGCTATACATTTCCACGTGACAAGCCACTTGGTTCAGCTATCATTTGTGATGGCCAGGTCACTTCTGAAAATGAGCTACACAGTTCAGTGGGTCTTACCTGGTAAAAAATATATATAGACTGGAATAATCTGATGAGCTACAAAGCTCTTTGTCTCAGATGTCCAGTACTCGGATGGGTGACCACCAGTGCTTGCCATGTGTTCAGATGTGCTCGGCTGCAAAGGTGTGGACCTCTCGCATGTGAGGGTTTTATGCGGGCTCACCGTCTCCATCCCGCGTGCCACTCATCATGGTGACGGAATCGGGCCAAACATCCCAATTCAGGACAATCCTGAAATATTCTTGTAACTTTTTTTTATTTTCCTGGGTAAATCATTGGCATCTATTCAAAAGTTACTTTTAACACTTGGATGGTCCTGTTACTGGATGCACACGGTGCCAAAAAATAGATTTGGTGGCCTTATATTTCCCAGACCACATTGGGATCACTTACATGGTGATGTAAGTGCGGTTCTTGTAGCATGAGAATGTGAATCATGTTGCTACGAATAGAACTGGGCCCGTGACCTCAATCCAGGGGATTTTTCTCTACATTTTTTGCATTTCCCCCAATTGCTGTCTGGTCATGAGACTAAAAATGAATTTGGAAATCTCGCAGGACAGTGCGACCATTTCTTTAGAACTGCCTTTTGTGTTTAGCACTGTTGGCTAAGTACGGTGGTGTGAAATAAGTTCAACATACGTACCTACAACCATTCTTGTTAGAGATCGGCTCACGGAAGTGGACACCACAGAACTACCTTCGAGATCTCTTCAAGTGGCACTGGTCCACACACAGTAGAGGGTATTTCCCACTCACTCTGCCATATGAGTATGAGGATGAACCCACGACAGTCAAGCCAATAGCTTTAATTCTCAAGAGCTGGAAATTAGGGAAATTGCGCACGGAAACAAATTTAATATGATGCGCTTTTTTTGTGGCGACTGATCTGAGACCATCAACTACACTACACTTGAGATGTTGGTTTAATCACAAGCGGTTGCCTGGATTTCAAGCCAGGATCTCAGCGGTGCCGGCTTAGCGCTCCTCTGACCACTAAAGCCACCCGGCCACCTCTTTGTGACGCGGGGGGGGGGAAGCGTTCCTGAAAGGCGCGACGACGAATATCGAAACGACATCAATGGATTCATATTCTTGGATCTTTCGGGTAAAGTCACGTTGAAGGGAAACAATAAAAGAATAAAATATATAATATATATTTTATATAATATATATTTTATATATATAATAAAATATATTATATATTTTATTATATTATTATAAAACAACAAAAACAATGTGAGAATTTTATTATTTTATTGTTTCCCTTCAACGTGACTTTACCGAAAGAACCAAGAATATGAATCCCTACAGTCACGAAAGCTTTAAATCAAGACATCAATGGAAGCGATTTTCAAGGGTAGTAGGAGTGGGTGGGTGTGGAGGCGAAGGCCGAGAGGCAACAAATAACGAGAAAGGATGGGACGACGATGCTGTCAGCGACGTTAAGAGCATGTGGAGGTTGAAGCGATGCTAATCCGATAACGGTGTTAATAATAACACGACGACACATTTGCGAAACAACGTCAAGGGGGAGAGACATCCATCGGGGTATCGCTGCATCCTCCTATTTCTTTTCATAGAACTGAAAACATCTCGGCGTCTTTGCCTCTAAAGCAATGAGTACATTCAATGGATTGTCCTACCACCATCCAGTAGGTCATATAAAACACGCTGCAATGCGGGAACTAGGCGATGCGGTTTAAGAAAAAAAGATAATTCCATTCTAGAATTGCGAACGGTTCATTTGACCTCGAGGGGAAAATCATCGCAGCCAAGTTTGTGCAGTGAAGCCACCAATCAAATAATTCGAAATTGCAGTTGTTTATAAACTCCTGTGTATGTGTGTGTGTGTATGTTGAACGTCTTTCGCACCGTATGTAGCCAACCGCGCTAATCAGAGGTGCAGGACGATCGTGTGCTTTTCTAAAAAGTCATGAGAAGTGCCGTGACGAAAAATATATTTTTCTTGTTCGTGTCTCTATCCCATTGACTACAAAAGTTTTGGTTTCAAAAGCCATCTAATCAAAACTACGCACGAACAAATGGCCACAATTTTTGCTTCAAAGTCATTAATACACCGCTGATTACGACGATGATGGCGTAATTGATAGCGCGAACGTCTTTGAACGCGATTTAAGGGTACTGCACATGAACTCCACATTATCGCGAAATAACGATGCAAACTATCAAGAGAAAGAGGCAACAAAGGAACATCCCCATCGGCATGAAGTCGGCAAACAACATAGTTCTCGTTTCTAAAACGCAACAGCGAATCGCTGCGTTCACACCTCACTCGGCGAGTCGCTCGTCGGGACAATTACAAAAGCGTCGCGACGCCAACCCCCACCCTGGCCCTCCTCGAAACCTACGGCTCCGTACAAATGGACGTTTTTGATTCCTTGTCGAGCGGCCGTCAGGGACAACACGCGCCGCGTGGGGTTTGATTACAGTGCCACGTCCCTCACGCTCGCTCCCAGGGCGCCTGCTGTGAAGCCCGCGCCAGCCACACCTTCCCCGCCACGGTCTCCAATATCGCCCTGCAGGTCCACCTCCTCGTCCTCCTCCACCTCCTCGACCTCCACTTTCTCGACCTCCACCCCCTCGTCCTCCACCTCCTCATCCTTCTGCTCAAGCTTGACTCCACCGACGCTCAAATCTTCCGCTCTGACTGCCCACGCGGCCGCCGGCTCTTCCTCGGGAGATGCTTCGTGCATGGCTGCGCCGCCATCGGTACCGGAGACGCTCCGCCCTTCACCCTCTGCCACCTGTCCATCGCCACTCTCCTTCGCCGTGGCCTCTCCGCTGTCTGCGCCGTCCTCCTCCTCCTCCTGCTCTCTCCTCTCCGCTGCTCGCATATCTCGCTCTCTCTCCCCACCCCCGACACCGCCGTCGGCGATGGCGGTGTGCGTCCCCGACGCCCCGCTTGCCGCTGCATCGCTGCCATCCTCCTCTTCCTCCTCTCCTCTGGGCGTCACGCTGTCGACGCAGAACCCCTCCCTTCCCGTCTCTGCCGCTCGAGTTTTCTCTGCGGGTTCGGCCTCTGCCTCGCTCGGTGGGAGGGATGAACCCGCACCTGACCAAAAAGGATATCGGCATTGTCATCATCGTCATCAGTGTCATCGCCGTCATCATCATCACCAACATCGTCATCATCATCGTTATCATTGTCATCACCAACATAATTTTCATAATTATCGGCATCATCATAATCATCCATGCTTAACCTTGTCTTTTTCCAGTTTTACATAAGCGTTGAACAATGTTGGAATTTATTACGGGACAATTCGTTTCATTTGGCCGTAGCAAGGTACACACACGGTGCATGCCAACATAAAACATTAGCCAATGCCATAAATCCACCTGTACAAAGACAAAGATCCCCCGTATAGCCTCTAACAGGCTGTTTAGGGCAAGTAATGTAAGAGAGCACCTAAGGATGGCACGGCACACGAGGGGGTGGGTGGCCAGCATCTTTCCTAGCCGCCTCCTGAGGAGCGATATTTACACGCAGCACCAGGTATTCATCTGAGGCTGAGTTGACCTAGGGAGGCCCAGGACCGCTTCAGATCATCGTCACTTGTGTTGACCGTGAGCGGGAATCGAACTTGGGTCATCGGGTTTGTAACGCTAACCACTACACTACCACTCCCCACAGCACCCCCACACAACAACAACAACCGCCATTCACCACAAAGTGACGGTGACGTCACCACGACGCTTGTGCCAGGCTATGTGCACGTTGAGGCCACGTGAAGTGTCGAACGCTCGCTGGCAGGAGGTCACGGGGCAGACCCAGGTGCCACGGGCCGACTGCTAAGATGACTGGCTGATGCACCACCTGTGCCCCCTACCGTGCCAACCTGCTGTGCTTTAGCCACCCAGCGCTCCGCTCGTTGTTGTGAGCGTCGCTTCTCCGCCCTCCGTTGTTGCCGGAGAGCGACTGCCTCCAACTGCCCAGCAGCGTCCTTCACGAGCCTCCTCCACAGAGGCCAATCTTGACACCGCTGGTACCAGTCATCGGCAAGTCCACTCAGCTCCACATCCTCCTGTGCCACATCACTCCATCTCTTCTCTAGCCCGTGCCGTGCCCGTTTAGCCCCCTCGATCCAGCCGGGCAAAAGCTGTTTAGGCATTCGGTGCCTGGGCATGCGGGCCACATCACCCAGCCAACGCAGCCTTGCCTGCCGGAGGAGCTCACCGATGGGACTTTGTCCAGATCTTTCAAGGATTTGTGAGCTCCTCACACAATCCAGCTTGGTTAAACCCAGGATGGATCGTAGGCAGGCCAGCCTAAATGTTTCTAACTGGCGATGTTCCATTAGGGGGGTCCACGTTTCGCAAGCGTAGAGAAGGGAGGAATGACCGTGGCCGAGAAGACCTGAAGCTTCGTGCGGAGCGACAGATCAGGTAGCTTCCACACAGTGTTACGCAACCGATGAAAAGATAATGCCGCTCGAATGATTCGGAGTGAGACCTCTGCTGTTAAACCGGAGCCGGTCATGAGCACACTGCCCAGGTATGGGAAACTTTCCACTCTCTGCACAACTGCCCTATCACCAATTGGGAGTTGTGGGGGTGGAGTGTCCGATGGTACAAAATACCCAGGCAGGTGCTTAGTTTTGTTGGGGCTAATGGTGAGGCCCCACCTCTTAGTGGCAAGCTCCAGGTTCAGCAGCAGCGCCTCCAACTCTTCCTCTGAGTGAGCAGCAATTACCAGGTCGTCGGCATACATAACATGGTTAAGCAATAGGGAGCCATCCCTGGACCGCACCCGGGCATCAATCAGCCTCCCATTGTATCTGTACCAGATGGGAATTCCTCCAGGACAGCTATTGAAGACTTCACTAACTACGTGGTCGAAATAGATGTTAAATAATGTGGGAGCCAGAGGACATCCCTGTCGCACCCCAAGGTGAACAGGGAATGGCTCCGACTCCCAGCCACGTCGTTTTACCCGGGCCCGCTCACCATCATGAAGGTCCTTAATGATCGTGAGCAGAGGGTCAGAGACTCCGAAAGCACGATGGTAATTGGTGTGGCGCTGCAGGTTACTTTTTTAACGGAGTTAAAGAGCGATTTGTGATCGCGGGCCATTGAGGCAGACTCTGTCTCCTCAGAAACCCCTCGACCACTACCCATCCTTGCAGCGCCTCACGGCTCTCCAAACCCCCCCACACACACTCTACCACAACAACAACCGCCATTCGCCACTAAGTGGCGGTGACGTCACCACGACGCTTGTGCCAGGCCATGTGCACCTTCAGTCCATGTGAAGTGTCGAACGCCCGCTGGCAGGAGGTCACGGGGCAGACTCAGGTGCCATGGGTCGATTGACTGAGATGACTGAGATGACTGAGATGACTGGCTGATGCACCACCTGTTCCCCCTACTGTGCCAACCTGCTGTGCTTTAGTCACCCGGCGCTCCGCTCGTTGTTGTGAGCTTCGCTCACATATTCACCCACACACATTCACGGACTCGCAATCACACCTGTTAAGGGCGGCAGGCCTTCGCACTCGGGGGATGACGCTCCGCTGCAGTCACTGCGAGGACCCAGCCGCTCGTCCTGCACGGGGCTGAAGAAGCCACTGTCAGGGTCAGCGCCCGACCCGGAGCTGGATCTGGATCCGGAGCCGGAGCTGGACCCGGACCTGGAGCCGGAGCCGGGTTCGGAAGCCGCGAGCTGCAGGGCGGGCGGGCGCGTGGGCAGAGGAGCGGGCGGCACAGCGCCACCGGCGCATGGGCTGCACGACTCCAAATAGTTGTCGTCCTTGGATGCCATGAGGCTGCAGGCATCCGACTCGCACGCGTCCGACGCCACTGCGGCAGGCAGGCAGGCAGCGGCGGCGGTGCAGAACGCAACAGCAGTCAGCCAATCAGCCAACCAACTGGGTAACAAACCAATGACTGACTAAAATCAATCAGCTGACGAATGAATCAATCGGCGCATTGCGCTAACCGGTGTGGCGTGGTTCCCCCCTCCGTCCTCCCCCCGCCACCGCAGCGTGCTGATTTCGTCAAGGAGCATAAACCATCATCACTCCGGTCATTCTCGCAGCAGCATCGGCTTTTGGCGAGTCATCAAACAAAGACGGTCATTGCGTCGCATGCTTCGCTTTCGGATACGCTTCCGTGGCCGTCTGGAATGCTCTTTTTTGCGATATTAGGAAGGCACTGGAAGCTGTGCACGTTTAAATTATCATCTCGATTAAAAACTCATTTTCTTTAGAATTGCTTTTTGTGTTTAGTCTATTTCTTTCCTTCGCACTTACAGTTAGCGCGGTTGGCTACGTACGGTGCAAAATAAGTTCAACATACATATACCACACCTCCGATTAGCACGGTTGGCTACGTATGGTGTGAAAAAAGTTCAACATACATACTCCGCACCTCCGGTTATCATGGTTGGCTACGTACGGTGTGAAAGGAGTTCAACATACATCGGGGGGAAAAGCAAAACTAAATCGACGAGCGGGCAAGCGTTTACCGGAGAAGCTGTCGCCGTCCATGGAGAAAAACCCCAGCTCCATGCTGAAGGCGCCGGTGGTCTCTGCGCCGACCCCACGACCCCGGGGCTCCTCAACGGCGCTCGCCTTGCGCCGCGCGTGGATCTCGTCAGAGATTCGCTCGAGGCTGTCGAGCGCCGCACGGTACTGCCCCTTGGTGGCGGTCACGGCCTCCTGCAGGCCCTCCACACGCTGCTTCTGGTGCTGCCGTGACCACGCCAACCACCCCCCCGGCGTTAATGATAGCCGGGGTTAAACCCCCTTGGCCACTTTCTGGTGACGTAGCGCGTGACGTGCCGCGTGCGTCACCGTTTCTTTTTCTTTCGGTTCCGTTGCGATGACTTACACATGCCGCACGCCCTCCCGCATGGCCTTGTAGGAGCCTCGGTACCGATACAGTTATTTTATTTAAGTTTTTCTTCTGGTTACGTTGCGATGACTATGCCGTGTGGCAGGGCGCGTGGCGAAATTTGGCGCCAGCTATCGTAAAGTGGCGGCGGTCGTGTCGTTATGGTTCTCTGCGGCGTGTACAATGTGTTTAAAAACAACGACACTACTACGCCTCTCCAAATAAAGTTAATGCTGAACTGCTTGCGCGTTCCGAGATTCAGCGGTGAATGGGACACCCACACCCTGCAACTTGCAGACGTCTCAGAATGGGAAAGGGATTAAACATCCGTAGAGATCGTGCAGAAATGTCTACGCTGATTACGGCAGGAACCGGTCTCTCCAAAGGACAACCGGCGGGAAATCCACGTCGTGCCTGGGCAGAGTGTGATCGTACCCCACCGGCGCTGGATCGTGAAGCCGGTTCTGATGAGACTCGACGAAGTATAAACCTCAAACGTTAAAACAGAACCATTATTTTCCTACAACAGCGTGTGCTTGACGCAATGTGCATACAACGCGCCGTGTCCTCTCACGTGTGCCACAGCGTGAAGTTGCACGCGTGCGACTCTGCTCATTGCAACTTTGTAATGCGTTGTTGCTGTTGTTTCACAAGCAACTTGTGCAATGTACATCCGATATCGTGGAACTGGGGTAAAGAGGCTGGGGCAATAATAATAATTTTAGCAGTTGTAAGGCTCATGGAGCTATGCAGCTCTTTGTGAGAAGCGACCTGGCTGTTCCAAATGATAGCTCAACGAATTGGCTTTTCATTACGTGGAAATTTATAGCAGCAAAATACTCTAAATGCATGATGTTGATTTTAAATGTGGAGGGAAAACCCGTAGGGACCCGGAGAAAGCTCCACGCGACCACGGTGAGAGAGACACGCAAACTCCAAATATACAGCAGCAAGCATCGTCAGGATAGGGATCGAACCCACGACCTCCTGCATATCAGGCGAGGTAGTTAACATCTCCTGGCCACTGTGACAATGCGACACCTACCTCCAGCTCGAGGTAGTACTTGGCCTTCAGCTCGTAGTACGGTCTGCACAATGAGACACACAAAGCGAGGGAAATTACAAATGGCAACTGGGTCGGGTTCCAACATTCATATCACTCCTGGAGGATTTATCTATGGCCGGAACAACGTGTCGTCCCATTCGTTAACATCGATTCTTAAACTCAAAATCACGCGTCGAATTCGTGCGTGCGATCGTTAATTTTGTTTCAACTCGTTTGTTTAATGGGTTTGCATCGTCCATGCAGCCACTAGAGGTGCTACCATTCACCACCAAATGCATGTATGTTGAATTTCTGTTGCAATGTACGTAGCCCAACGTGCTAATCAGAGGTGTGAAATAGATTCTTAGTGACATAACAGAAACCAACGAAATTGTTGCATCTGTGAATCTGCCTCAAAGTTGGGAGTCAAGCTGTTATTGATTTAAAGATATATTTTGTATTTTTCTCCAATTTTATCCGGATTGTGCGTTAGGGTCTCGGAACTGCAGTCTGTGGAGGTTACCACAGAGCTCCCACTAAGACCCTTTAAGTGATGCCTCGGTCCATCCAGGAGGGGGCAGCACTTTGCCAATTGTCCTGAAACCGATCACTTTTCATCACATGACAATCAAAGCAAGTATTTTTCTATTCTCAGAGCTGCCAATGAGCCAAATTGAGCTGAGAAACAATTTTACGCGGACAGTTTTTTGGTACAATGCGGGCTGAGGCCATCCACATATTGCCCTTGAGAACTAATTTTAATCACCAGGAGGCTGCTTGGATTCAGCCCCAAGATCTCAGCGGCACCGGCTCAGCGCTACGACCTCCGCGCCACTCGGCGCCCTCGGCTGTGAAGCTGGAAGCTAAACCCGGTGGCTATGAGATGTTAACTACCTCGCCTGGTATACAGGTCGTGGGTTCGATCCCGACCTTGACACCTGTTGTATATTTGGAGTTTGCACCTTCTCCCCGTGGCCGCATAAATTTCTCTCCGGGTCCTACAGATTTTCCCTCCATATTTAGAAAAATTATGTTGTCTAGAGTATTTGGCTTTTTTCCACGTGATAAGCTATCATGAGTTAAAGCTTTCGTGATTGTAGGAATTCATATTCTTTGGGTCTTTCGGTAAAGTCGCATAGATAGGCTCAAATAAAATAACAAAAAAACTACGACGTTTCGATCGCAACACAAGCGGTCGTCATCAGGAAAAGGGGGTTAGCTTCTAAAGGCGAACTGTTTATAAACGTTTGAAATGGCCGTAGCCCAAATGTCAGCAGCATGGGCGGGGCAGCTGATGTTAATGTGAGTGGTGGGCGGCTACCGCGACGGTGGTGCGTTTCCCACCAATTAAAGGGCTGCCAGGTAAAAATTAGCATGTTAATGTGAGATCGGTGAGCAGCCTCCACGAAACTTAGCAATCATTTGACAAACTTAGCAATCATTGACAGGACGTTATCAACCAGTTTAAGTCATAACTGGCTGTGATGTTGCCATCCTACCACCTTGCGATGTTAGTTGTTATTTTCGGCCCTCCAATTTTACATTACCAGGTTATATTTCTCAAACTTACACAGCCGCCGTCGCTCGCGTCCTCGAGGTGGCAGCGGCTCTGTGATCTGCCATTAACATGCTCATCTCTCACATTAACATAGCCCTTTATTGGTAGAAACGCACCACCATCGCGGTCGCCGCCCGTCACTTACATTAGCTGCCCCGCGCATGCTGCTGACACTTGGGCTACGTCCATTTCAAACCTTTATAAACATCATGGGACCTCCTTTGCCAGTAGCAAAATATGAGAATAGGTTTTCCCCTTTTTCCTGGCAACAAAACAGGTGTTAAGATGTTAAAACACCAAACTGAAACCTTTTACAAGGGATCATGACCACAAGTATTGTGGTTAATGTAGACATGATTCCTTGTAAAAGGTTTCAGTTTGGTGTTTGAACATCTTAACACCTGTTTTGTTGCCAGAAAAAAGGGGAAAACCTATCCTTTATAGACAGTTCGCCTTTAGAAGCTAGCCCCCTTTTCCTGATGACGACCGCTTGTGTTGCGATCGAAACGTTTTTTTGTTATTTTCTTTGAACCTATCTACGTGACTTGACCGAACGACCCAAAGAATACAAGCTATCATTTTTTGCCAGGTTGCTTCTGAAAAATAACTATATCGCTGAGTGGGCCTTACCTGGTAACATAAAAATAGTAGTCGTAGTACTGCATCCCGAGCCGCATAATAAAACGAAGGCAGCAATTATAGTACGGAAAATTATTGAAGAAAAAATCTAAACAAATATACACAATTGTAATCGAAACACATAAAGGCTAATAAAAAGGGGACAGCGAGTGGTAGTGGCGGCTACGCTGCCGCACGTGGCTGCTGCCTGTGATCCAGCATTGCGGAGGCAGCAGCAAGGGTTTGGTCGATCACCGCATACATTAGATGATGCGCGACTCCCTTCACAGTGGGCGTCGTGGAGGTGCCGTAGTCCTGGCTCACCAGGAGAAGGCGGTACACCAAGTGGACACTAATTGCCATCTGTTTCCATAGAGCTGAGTCGGCCCTACCTGGTAAATAACAAATTTTGTTTAGTTTAGATCGAGTCTGATCAATAGACCAACTAACGCCGGAATTTATTCTTCCGGGGAAATCTTCATTCAAGGCACAAGTTTCGGCGCAGAAGGCGAGTCAAGATTTACGGGCGCGCGAGCGAGGTTCTGCGAGCGGCCGAAGGAGACAATCGCACTGGCAGAGGCTGCTGGAGTAGGGAGATTGTGATTTCAACTCGGCCTGGTGGCAGGAAATGCTGAACTACGCCACTCTCAAGGTAGCAGTGGAAAAGAAAGAAAAAAAACAGGATCTCATCAGCAATGCCGACTCAGTGTGGCTTTGACACGAGCCTGGTAGTGCCCGCGGGGCCACCGGGCCCACCTGGACTTTTTGATGGTACGCTTCAGCTTCCGCTCCAGCTGATTCATGTGCACCATGGTCACACTGTAGCGCTCCGCAGTCTGCTTGTGCACCAGCTCGCTCCTGCCTTTGTCCTGCTCGGCCTTCATCACCTGCAGGCACATCATCGTCATCACCACCATCATCATCGTCATTATCATCATCTTTATCATCTTTGTCATCACCATTGTTATACCACCACCATCATCGTTACCACCATCATCATCATCAACGTCGTCATCATCATTGTCATCATCAGCATCACCATCGTTATCACCATAGTCATCACTGTCACCACCACCATTGTTATTGTCTTCGTTGCCATCAACGTTATCACCATTATATTCTTAGTTCTTTCGGTAAAGTCACGTTGAAGGGAAACAACAATATATATTTTATTATTTTATTGTTTCCCTTCAACGTGACTTTACCGAAATAACTAAGAATATGAATTACTGCAGTCACGAAAGCTTTAAATCAAAAGTTATCACCATTGTTACAATCGCCAAGATCGTCGTCGTAGTCATCATCGGTGCACAAACTGCGAGACCATGTTAAGAGACCCACTGAGACAACGAGTGCCATCCGTGGTGGGCGCCAGCATGGTCCAACCCCAGCCCAGTCAAGCACAGCTCAGGTCCACCACCGGCCCAGTCAACCACATCCCAGGTCCCCCACTGACCCAGTCAACCACAGCCCGG